CAGCTCTCGAAAAGCTATGATGAGACCCCACAGAGCCTCACAAATAGTGATTGAATTGACTCATGTATATCCATGATCATTACAAAGTTACGATTCAACCCTGATTAAGCTCATCCAAATAAACAGCGTGTGGCTATAAGATCGTTACATTGCTGTAATTGTACCACATAAACACCAGCAGATAGAAAGTGTCAGCAATCAATCAAGCCTCTAGTGATCCATGTCATTTATACACATTGCGTGATCCCAAAATTCAAATTCCAGAGGCAGAAATCCACACGTTAAGAATACTAGACCCAGACACGGAAAGTACCTTATATAAGGCCCAGAGTCGGAAGGAGAAATTCTTAAATTTGAAGAGAAACGAATCAGGAAAGATGATAATGGTGGTGAATATGACGGAGATGATGGCGGAACTAACGTCGGCAGTGGCAACGGTGACGGAGCTGCTTTTGACGCTGCGGAGCACAAGTTTTAGCGGTCTCAGGAACCCTCTCTTTGCTTCGACATCCTCGCCATCCGATTCTGTTTCCTTTCTGGTTTATTTCTAGCTATCATCGAAACTTAGAATAGATATTTTAGGAAGAATTTTCATTCAATGATTTGTTGCAATTTGAGCCTTGAATTGAGTGAGAACAGTGAGGCTCTGAATCTAATCTGTCCGTTGTTGCATGTGCATCTCAGAAAATTCTACATCTGTATGAAACACGACGCCTCGATTAGCCCTTCCCTCGCTGGTTTTTCCCGTCTTTCATTGTTTCCTCTGCGGTAGCGGGAATATCGAACTAGGCTTTTTGAACGAAGAAAAAGAGAATTTCCTGATTTGATGTTTACTCGATCTTTAACACATAATTTTGTATACCAAAAAAAAAAACACATAATTTTATTTTTAATTTAATTTAAATATAAAATTTTAATTTATTTTATTAATCATATTTATCTATTTATTTTAAAATAGTCTTTATAATAGTTATATATATTAAAAATTTTATTAAATAGTAATTCTAACTAATACATGTAATTAGTAAGGATATTTTAAAAAATTTAAATCAATAATTAACTTAATAAATTTTTATAATTTATTCAAATTAATTAACTAACTGACATTAGGGATGTGAGGTAGTTTTTTTTTTTTGCCTGAATGTGAGGTAGTATTTCTTGTGACACAATTCCTGTTTTGTTCTTTTTTTATTTTGGATTCGAAAAAAGTCTCGCCCAGTCCATGAGATTGGCAAAGGCCATGCAATTTGCTTATTTGCGCTATGAAAAACCTGTGGTTAATGTCAATCAAAAGCCATGTTATTATTTATGCTGTATTTTGATTATGTCTCCGAAATGTTTTAAACTATGTCAGAAGTTATAATTTAAAATTAAGTCGGAGATTTATAATTAATAATTATAACCTTATAGCTAATGTGAGCATACTAGTTGTAACTTCAGTAGAAATTAGAAGTATTTTATTTGGCCAACCGATATAGTAATAATTATATTTATAATAATTAATGTGAATATATTTTATTAAAAAATTCGTTTCTGGATTAATTATTATCTTCGTTCTTCAGTCTAATCAGTAGCCTAGTTAATATCGTTGTCATGGAATTGCGGTGAGTTAGCCGTATTCATTGCTCTCTTTTTTTTTCACCAAGGCCGTATTCATTGCATTGACACTTTACTTTTATACCATTGTTATAATATAATTACAATAAGTATAATAAACTAAAAATTTGTGTAGTATGTAATTTAGAAAACAGCAAAACACGAATTCTCATTCAAATCATATCATGTGATTACATTGAATATCTAATTAGATATTTGGGAAGATCGCATAAAAAGACAGTTAAAATAAAAAAATTGTACACAGGAACTCATTCATAAAAATTGTTATCAAAACCCATACTATTATTATCAAAACTTATATTAATATTGTCACAGATTTCTATTTGTAATTTTTCTATTTTGACGGTCTTTTTTTATGATTCTTTCTAGATATTTCTCAGTGAATATTAGATCTCATCGATTATTTTAAAAATTTATATTAGTAATCATATTATTATCCTCACTTCATTATTTTCAAATAATTGACATGAGAATGAATTTTAACTGAAGAAGAGTAAAGAGTTTGAAATTATAACGTAAGGAGTTAAAAAGAAAAATACGTTAATTATTTTTTATGAATTTTGTTTTTACTTTTTGATGTCTTATTGTTTGTTATAAATTTTGTAATAATTAAAAAAAACAAAAAATTGGTTTCGAGGGCTCTTCTATAGATGGTTTGAGAAAAATAAATATTTCCTTTAAATATTGAATTTTGTATGGATTTTAAAAATGTATAAATAAAATTAGTTCAAAATATATTTTTTGAATTTACTGAATCGCAAAAAGTGCTCCTGATGTTCAGAGATGTTTTTAAAAATATATGTATACTGAGAGTAATATCCGCAGAGGATCAAAACTGTATAACTTTTTCGAATCCAAAAACTGCATATCCGTTTTTGTTTTTCGTTTGGTTAAGATCAAAACTTTGAGATGGGAATTCCACCCAAGCTATTCCCTTCTGAGGGTCACCTTTCTTTTAAATGTTGGCATAACATATTCTAGTTAGTGAGATGAATTTGTTGGAGGCATAAATTTTATTTTAATATTACTTCACTGCTCTTGGCTTGTTCAATCGATCATCTCAGGATCATGCGGGCTACGGATGGTACTTGGTCTTGCAAGGGCTGGCCATTTCATCTGCCATCTTCTCAAAGCTGTCCGCTTTTTCGCCGCCATTTTCTGCCTATGGTGCTTCAGTCCCATCTGTGGATTTCGCCGAATTTGAAGGGGCTAACGGTTATGATTCCTTTTCGAGGCCGCTCGGAGGATTGGATTCGGCGCCTTTCTCCGAGCCTTGTAGTCATGGATACTCTGGCTTTCCATTTACGGACCCTCGTGTTAGTTCTCCAGGTTTGGCTTCTTTAAGAATGCGTTTGCTTATCATCATAATTACTGCCGCGATAACAATAAACTAAGTGCTTTAGTCTTGAACTAATGATGGTATTTTCTTTTCACGATTTCCTACACTAGATTGGTCCTCTCTCAATACGAAGCCCCGCGAGATAGAGCATCCGTGTCAGAGTCCGAGCTCGGGGAATCAGTTTTTGGTTTTCAGCGAAGGTAACCAAGCTGTGTTTACCTCTATCCTTAATGACCTCTTGTTTAGGTTATTGGTGGCTCTATTATTTTTTTCCCGTTTTCTGTTCCTTTCCTTCTTTCTGTCTTGGAATATACAACAAAGGCTGCTGTGGTTCCTTTTTTTAAGCTGTCCTGTATATCCGTTACGTAATATGATTGTGGTCTTTATAATACGTAAATGGCTGTCCTTTTGCCAATCGTGGATTAAAATCACAAATCACCGCTGCGGCTGCGGTTTCAATTATATCTCATTATGAGTATGCCAATTAATGTTCAAATATGCATGCTGCCAGGAACTTCTTAAGTTGCTTCAATTTAATCTTCATTATTATGTCCATGGGTTTTGATCCTTTAGAGAGATAAAAGCGTAAGTAATTAAGGATAGGATTTTACGACCTTAAAAGCAAAGATAAATAAAATAACGTTACTTGATGACTGACTGATTTCAGCTATTAACCTTCTAAGACAACTATATTCTACCCAGCATCAAAATTACACACATCTCAAGATATATTGAGCTGGCATTGTGTGGTTTAGCCTTGTTTTTATGATTTTTTATGGGCACGCATATATTTATATATATAGATTAGTTGTATGTGTTGTGTTGTCAATTATGTCTGCATGCAGGACATGTTAAAGGCTTAAATGATCATGATGCTCTTGACAGTAACTGTTTTTCTAGATTAAAGGAGACTTCTCCCATACCATTTGCTAAACGCCCATTTTTCTCTGATTCAGGTCAATTCAACCGGCATTTAGATCTTGGACCCAACTCATCAAATAACGTAATGCTTTCCAATTGGAATGTCCCAGTATCCGAAGCAAGACCCAGAATTCCAAATTCTCGTGCGAATCTACATATCGATAATTTTTTGAATGCGGCAGATGAATGCAATCCCGCTGTTCTTTTTAAAAATCATGATGCTTTACATCCAGAGCTTATCGATAAGATTGAAGAGTGTCTCGAAGGCCCTAAAGATTTCCATGTTGAAATAGCAAAATATGGGAGAGAGTCTTGCGAAATTTCAAACATCAATAAAATGCGGAATGAAATTAGCAGCCAGGAAAAAGGTTTGACAGGCCTTGCTACGAAGTTGTCGGTATCAAACTCTGTGTCTCAAGAGTGCAATTCAGATGTTGTAGTGGATGATGGACGTTCTGATGTTGGGAAACAAGTAGAAGAAAAAAAATTTATGTCTCAAAACCAGAATTCATTCTGTCATTGCAAAGATGTTGGTTTTAATGTGAGTGAATGTTTAGAATGCAATTCGTCTCAGGAGGCAGAAAATGTTTCGTCTTCGCCTTCTTTTATAGCAGCTGCACCTGAAAAGGCATCAGCTAAAGTACCAGCTCCAAAAATAGACATTCAAATGCTGATTAAAATGTGATTTCTTTGATTCGATAATAATGCTCAGATAATTAAGTAGGCTTACTGACACTTGCGATTTGAGTTCATGTTGTATGATATTTCATACTTCATATTTTATTTAAGCACTAGGTGCTTTTCTTATATTTGTGCTAGTTATTTGAATAGTCTTACATTACAATGTCTGTATGTCTTCATGATGAGGATTCTTCAGAGCTCGAGTGTTAAGGATCCCGCATGAGTAAGGTAGGAGCAGAGCGCGCTAATGTTAAGCAAGGTAAAGAACGTGGGATGATTTCAGATTCCCCTTGCATCAGTGGTGATTATACAGAAATGGAGAAGTAGATAACGTGACTAAGGTGCATTTATACATAGTATTTTGTGTTGTTTTAGTACTGATAACAAATATTCTTCTTCTTTTTTGATAAACACTATTAACAAATATTAATTTTGTTTCATTATAACAGGCTATGAAGAGGATTCTTGGTGAAAATTTCCGTGACGAAGAGGAACCAGTATCACATATTCTGCTGTACAAGAGTTTATGGCTTGAGGCTGAAGCTCAATTACGTTCCCTCATTTATAGAGCTCGCTTTGAATTGGAAAAATATTCATCTAAGCATGGAGGTTAGCATATCTTCTTTGGTTCCATTTGTTAACTATTCGGATAAATTACTTTTTTGACTTGTTATAAAGCTAATATCTATCTGTTTTCTCTTTATTAGATAATGATTCAGTTCAGGGAGAGCAATCAAAAACAAAGGCGGATTTTGAGTTAAGCTCATATCAGAATTCTGTAAACAGTGTGAGCAATTCTCATTCTCCTAAGCATATATCAGCCCTACATGGTGTCAATTTAACGGAACCATCTGGCTTAAAGGTGTCTCCCAATCACAGCGTGGATAGCTTCAATATTGCCAGTCAGGAGTACTTGTCACGTTCCATGGATTCTCATGCTCGTGACACGGCACTCATATTAGCATTAGAAGGAACAGAAAGTCTAAAGGCTCAGAACCCAAATGAAACTTGTGCATCGGAGAGTTTAAGTTTGACGGACGATAAGAAACCTGAGACGCGGGACAGCTCCGATGCTGATGTGAAGGAGTCTGATTTGGTTTTGGAGGATAATCAAGAAATCCAACTTAGCTCCTGTCAAAGGTTTGACAATGGGCTTGTTACCGATGATTCTGATGATTTGACATCAGACTGGGAAGTTGTTTAAGAGGAGCATTAAATGACTAGATGAGTTCTTTGACCTAGATATTTTAGCATTATGAGTAGCGGACATATGCCTATGACGGAATTTGTGCTCAAGGTAGATGTTTCCTTGGACATAAATATGATTTATTTGAGTTTTTGATTTGTTGTATATTTTAATTATTTTCTCTGATTCGGTGAGTTGTTATATATATTACATGCATGGTCCCATAGATGTGCGGTAGCGGATAATATTGCAAGCAGCACAAATGTGAGTCGTTAATTTAAATGTGGATAACCTTACAAGTAACACAATTGTGAGTCGTTAATTTACAATCGAGAAATGCGATTCATTACAAGCAGCAAATGTTTAAATAAATACATATTGTACCAAAAATTATTTTAATTTTTTTTTGGGGGCTTAATCTGCCTATTTTTTAATACACACTGGCATGAATTTTCCCGCTTTGGAAGACGTGACTCTGTTCTCTGTCCTTTTATTTGCCGTGACTTGTTTATTTAACGGAAAATTTCATTTTCATCAACCAAAAAAAAAAAAAATCCATAACCCACAATGGAAGACGAAATTGAATTAGGTTTGATGCGGTTAATATTTTTACTTGGTAAAATAGATCATTAAGCTTGGTAGAATATTTATGGCGAATTGCATCCAGCCCCATGGGACGGAGGATAGAAAAGCTGGATTATTTCTCAGCTACACCCTACAAGAAAGAAATTCGCAGTTTTCCAAAATTAATTAAATAATAATGATTGAAAAACGTTGCTGGCTCGCCCTTTTTTTTTTTTTTACTTTTCCCATTTTTACAACTGCAATGGGACGGGGTCCGAATTAAAATGGATTTGAATGATAAGTTTAGATGAGACTTAATAAACTGATTTTAACAACATCTAACGGATAATAAAATTGTCTCCCAAATATTTTGAGCGCTCAACAAAATTATACAAAAAATTATAAAACCAACCATACCAATAGTTAACACGGTAAGCGCCGAGGGAACTTAGGGATGGAAAAACGTCAGAAAAACACGAACACAGCATAAGGCGCTGATTAAGTAGTGAGTTCCATAATAGCACCAACGATGTCTCCGTTGTGAGTCTTGAGAGCCTTGACGGCCTTGCTTCTCGAAACCCCAGCCTGCGTCATGACCAATTCAATGTCACGAGGCTCCACTCCCGTTTCATCAACCTCTTCTTCTTCCTCATCAGGCTGTGCTCCTGCATCAGCTGCCGCAGCAGCATCTGGTTTTGCCACCACTGATCCCATGTCTGGCATCCTGAACTGCTGAGCAGCTTGTGTCTGCAACTGTGAGCTCAAGTCCTCTATTTTGGCTTCCCCAAATATGACATAGGTCTCTGAGTTTGGACTCTTGAACACGTCAGGCTTTGAGATGAAAAAAAGAACCTGAGCCACCAAATAAATTATTTTGTGAGGTCCCATCCACAAGACCAGATGCATCATCACCCACACAGCAAGTTAGATGATGGCTTACGTTTTTCGTTCTCTTGATTGTGACCCTGCTGACACCAGTAACAGGCTTCAGTCCCAGCTTCAACATGGCTTTCCTACTCTTCTTCTCACTTCTGCTTTGCTTTGAACCCTCAGTAGCACCTGCATCTCAAAGTCCAATAAGAGATTGATTCAACAGGAGCAAAGACAAATATTAAAAAGCCCGGGTGCATCGAATCCTAAATACTCCTCCGGTCCTTATTATAAGACCCAATTTGACTTTTTATTTGGTCCTAATTATAAGACCCAATCCATTTTGTCTCTTATATTTATGCATTTTTTTCCAAGATAATCCTTTTAATAATGATAGTTTTAGCCAATATACTTAATTAGCAAGGATATTTTAGGAATGACAACACTTATTTATTATAAATAACCAACTTAACTTACTTCTTTAATCTCCTCAAATAAGTCAATTGGGTCTTATAATTAGGACCGGAGGAGTATAACAAATAGTGGCTGGAGAACAAACGAACAAAGTTCACAACACAACAACCAACAACAATTAAACGGCCTATTAATCCATCAAAGTTATCTTCTTGTCCATAGTGTCAATACAGTTATACAGATCATATGACTTCCTTCAACACCACCGGTACTAATTTAGAACAGCATAAAAATCATGAGGACAGAAAAGTAGCAGATGAATATCATCAGCTCATAAATTAAATGATCATGTAACCAAAGTTAAGACTTAAGCGCTACCTGGAGCTAACTAGACAACAATCCAGATCATATCCACTTAGCACCTAATACAAGCATACGCAACATTACTGAACCAGGTGCCTTAAGCTACAAATTTGCAGCTCAAAATCATCTATGCTTTTTCTTGCATCCTACAGGATTCAGAAAACCAATGGGATAAAAGTTTGTGCCTAATCATTATGAATATAGCATTATCAGTATGTGCGCGAAAGTTGCGATTGATCATCACAATCTAATCACATAACTAAGAACAGCTTGGTTACAGTTCCGATACGAATTCAAGTTTCGCACAGAGCACCCAAAAACCAGCTTCCAGTATTATTTTATTGCTGGTGTTATTATAAGAGTGTAATACTATTCACCGTTCAGGGGAAAAAACAGAGCAGCAGTGGAGAATTACAAATCAGTTCAATATCTACAGTAAACATGAAACACCAGCACAAATAGGCAGTAAGCATCGATGAAATAAAAACCCAGAACACTGTGAAAGGGAGGAAGGACCCAAAAAAAGAAAGACGAATAACAAGCGAAGACCTTGAGCACCATCTTCCTTGTCATCCTCGTCTTCGTCGTCGTCCTCATCATCGTCTTCGTCTTTGTCGTCGTCCTTCACATCCTCGACAACAGGAGCATCGTCATCCTGGGGAAACAGATCACACACGGAAATGAGAGACTACGACGAGAAATGAACACAGAAGAGCGGATAAAGGGAAACTGAAACTAAGCCGAATAGGACCTTGGGTTCATGGTTCTTCTTCTGAATCTCCTCGGCCGATAGAAGCTGTTCATCGGCAGCGGCCTCAACAACGGGACCTGGCGACATAGCGTCTTCGAAACGGCGGTCGATAGGGATGGCACTCTCAGACGAAAACTCCTCTTCGGGATTTTGGGTTTTATGTTTTATCTGACGTCAAGACGTTTTATTGCTTATTGGCGGCAAAGTTGGGCCGTTCATTAACCCAGTCTAAAAAAGCTCGCAACTCTTTGGGCTTTATTAGAGTCCATATATTTGGCTTTGTTGGGTCATATGGGCCGTTACTCCAAAATGTTTTAGCAACCCCGGACAAGGTTCATTTTTTCGGTGATAGATCTGGATAAGGTTCTGTGTGGGAGAAAAGCACTCTGGACGCGGTTCATGGAGGGGGGGGGTAGGGGGGAATCAAAAACAGGGATTTGGGGCTCATTCTTTTCTTTCTTTTTTTTTCCCCTAAAGCATAGATATCCTCCTATTGTAAGTAATTTTATTCAAGGCACTATCGGACACGAAATGTGAACGTCTCTCCGAGCGGAGATTTGAATCTTAATTCACACGTTATGAGAAACTAGCTCATTCCGCTAGACCTAACCCCTGTTGGTTCATTCTTGAAGGACTTGTCACATGTTGCCTAAAAACCTTAAGAAGGTTTCCCCTACCTAGCAAAAAGAGGGGGGAAAATCTCAAAAAAGGTTCTTAAATACATAGATTTGAATCTTTAATATCAACCCATGCTTTATCATATCTTTATTATTTGAGCTAACTTGAAAATCACACTGATATTTTGGCCTGAAAAAAACCAGATTGATGTCAAATTCCATTCAGGGAAGGGAGATAGGCAGCCTTCCCATGGATTAAGGAATGCGTTTTCTCCAAAGAGAGGAAATAATGTACCGCTAATTTTATGGCAGGTTATATAGCATTCTGATCATTTGTCCATTCTCTATTTAAAATATCTTAATTTTTTTAGAAATATTACTGTGTTTATGTAATAAATGTTGCTTCTCTTGAAAACACTAGCCTTTTATTTTATGTTAGTCTGGTCCATTGATAATGTGAGGCATTCATCTCCCTCTCTCTCTGTCTCTGAGCGGCCATCGAGAGGCATTCACGTTATTTCATTAGTCCTGACCGATTCTGATCGTCTTATCAATAATTTAATTTCATCGCCTCGAGTAATTTCTTGATTGCTTTATATCAAACTCCCTCATTGAAGTGAAATAATTTTTCTTACCTATCAAACCATTGTGGCATCGTCAACGCAAAAATAATCTTTTTAAAAAGAACCACTTCTCGCTTTCACTCTTCTTTTTCGTCTTCCCAGAAACAAGCGGCTCTGTCTTACCAAACACGGAACTCAAGGCATTGCCTCCTTTGATGATCATTTCAACAACTGCTTACTGCCCTGCATTTAGAAATCCGCGGCAGTACATACAACTGACCAGATTCAATATGGGAACATAAAAATAATGTTTAAACGGCCATCACTCCACTTCTCCCATAAAACACACACACACACACACACCCTACCAAGAAGTTTTATGTTACATAGAAATTGAGGGAATGAGAGGACACAGTTACTGGTTCCTGAAGAGCTCCAGGCAGTGATCTTGATCCAGGTTCCTGCTCCAGAACTTGTTATAATATTCGGCATAGGTGAAGGCCCTGTATATGGGTTCTGATCCATTTTGCGTCAACTGCTCGGCGGGACCGATCAATGCCTCATTAGATGGGCACAGAAACGAAGCCACTGAAAGCCTGGGCTTCTCCGCGTTCACAACAGCCCGGTGCCACACGCTCTTATAAACTCCATTACTCAGCGCCTGATGCAACCACTCCACAATAAGCGAAACAACATGAAAAGCCTCGCAAGTGAAATAGAGATGAATATATACATATATATATATATGCGCGTGTGTGTATTTATATGTATATACCTGGAGCTGATCGCCGATGTTGATGACGAAAGCATGAGGGTGGGGATTAACGGCGAGCCACCGGCGGTCTTTGAGGACCTGGAGGCCGGCGACTTGGAGGTCCTGGAGGAGGATAGTGAGGGCGTTGGGGTCAGTGTGACCCGGCAAGCCGTAGGTGAGGTCGGGTTGAGGGCATGCGGGATAGTAGTTGACGGCCATGTGCTGCCCTTGATCTCCCAGCACCTCCTTGATGTGATCCTTGCGCAGTCCCAGGCTCTCCCCTATGTCCTCTTCTATTCTCATGCCCAGTGCCCTCACTTCCAGGCAGTATCTTCTCACTATTTCCCTGTTCATGCCACGTCACATTCCTCCTGCTCAGTCACCCGCATATTAAATGTTTGCTATGCCTAGAGTTGGGTATTTGTGGTTCCTTTTAATTTGGGCCGAATGCTTTCAGCCCCCCATGTTTTACGTAGTTTCTTTCTTTCAATTTGGGCTTCTACTCCGATGTTTCGTGCAAAGGGGGGAAAAAAACCAAACAAACAAACAAGTAAAAGGATGGCTTCAAACTTCAACGCACAAAAGTCAAGATATGCTACTAAGGTTAGAAGCAAATGGCAATTAAATAATAAGAACATGATGGCCCGAATTAAAAAAAGGCAGGTTGAAGCCCCACACCTCGGACAACTAGGGGAGCCATGTGCGCTTGTTGCGGAATTAAGATGTGGACAATTAGTGGGTTATTTATAAGTGGAGATGCGGGTGCTGTGGGGGGCTCTAAGAATGAGAAGATGATGAGAGCAGGGGGAAATGGGATGACGTCAACGCGGAGGGGAGGGGTGACGTAAGCCTGCACGCCTGCCAACTTTGTCGTCTTCCCTTGATAGCCTGGTCTCCAGTCGCAACCCTCACGCTTCCCTGTTCTGGTCCCCACCAATGACCCCGCTCATCACCTAGCCGCTCCAAAATAGATGTCTCTGGGTATTATTTTTTATTTCGATTTAATTTTCTCGAAGCAGGAGAAGACGTCCTCATTATTGCACTGTGCTTGGAGAAATACAGCCAATACAGTAAAACAAAATCAAAGACGATCTATAGCATAATGTGAGTAGTACAGCCAAAACGTTAGGCGGTGACTGGTGCTTGAAAACGACGAAAACAGAGCTTGCAATTTTAACCCTCAATACGACAACGCAGAACGCTTCCATCGTTGGCTCCATGGGAACCCCTCCCCTTCTGCTTTATTATTACAGTGTTTTAAGAATTGCAAGCATCAGAGCCAGCAACCAAACTTGGTCACCCTTGATGTTAATTAATTCGAACTGCTACGCGCCGACTCCCTCACTGCGATGTCTCTCTGAGCAACTGACAATTCCGCCTTAAGAATCGCAGTTGCGCACATGGCAAAGGATCCTAAGTTGGATGCAAAAGTCAATTACTGGTTTTCTTTAGTTTCTTATGCTATTCTTGTTAAGACTTAACCCAACACCATTTCCCATTCCAGGTCCCTGCTCCCACCCTTGTACTACTTCTATTTTAAGTCCCGAAGAAGACAGACGTCCAAATGGAACATGTTGATGAAATTCTTGGAGAAACATTTGGCGCTTCTGCCCATTATAACGAGAGGAGTGTGATCCAATTCACCCCATGCTTAACAATAATTCTCCTTTGCACCGTGCCATCACGAAGGAAGACTAAATTATCTCCTAGGGCCATCTACTCAAGTACTCAACAATACTTAAACACCTAATAAAACTGTTGAGAAAAGATATTTTACATTATTCTTTTTAAAAATAATTAAAAAAAGAAATATTAAATTGACCATAAAAATATTATAGGCAATTTTTGTACAAGGCGCGTATCCGTATGTATAGAATCTAAAAAACGAGCCAATAGTATTTATACTCTATTTTAAAAACTATGATTTTTAAATAGAGATTTTAAGAATGTGTCAGAGAATGTTCTGAAATATGATGACAAGCAAACAATCTTGTGAGTGGATGGAAGATACTCAAAGTGGTCCCAATTATTAAAGTAACATTCTTAATTTCATTTTCCAAAACTCAGGTGTTACAATTAACATACGAGTGACAGGATTCAAAACATAGTGATTGTCCTCATGATTGCAAAAGGTGATGCATTTTAATTAAAAGGAAAAGGGAGAATCAAGTGTGATGATTCATTATCAAAGCATGAGAAAGTTGAAAAGATGCCACACAAGACAAAAGAACAGTCACACATGCTGATTGTTGAGGGCAGAGACAGAATTATGTTGAAGGTTGGAGACTCGCTTGGGTAGGTAGTTCAAGGGAATCTGTTTCCCAAGATTCAGACTGATGCCGCTGTTCTGAACTTTTCAAGCTTTTGCTTGCCTTGTTGTTCAAAATAGAGGGAGAGACTTGCTTGAAAGAAGGCTTATTAGAAGGGTCACACGTGCTTATTGGTTAATTAAGTTTAAGAGAGAGAGAATGATAGAAATTAGAATAGAGAGAGATAGATGACTTACTTGAAGGAAGGAGGGTTGGAAGGCCACTCGGGCAGATACTCGTCCAGAGGGTGACAATGGAGCCTTAGGTAGTCTCTCCAGTTATGGACCTTCTCCTTCTTCACATTAAAACTCGTTGACAATCTCATTGTTTTTGACGGATCATCTGAGTACAGCTTCATCTTCTCCTCCACCGGCAGCTTGAAGAACTCATATGCCACTTCTAACATATTGTTCACAACTTCTCCAGGCACCCCGTGATTAATCACCTGCATAACATATATACACACCATCCAAATTTGTGGTGAGATCAGAAAACGTGACCAACATGATTTGTCTATGGTACTAGTTGAAGAAGACCTGAAAAAATCCATAGGATTTGCAGGCCTCGCGAATTTGAAGAAGAAGAAGAGCTCTGTCGGGAGAAGCAAGGTCGATGATGGGAACATCTTCGCAGGTGGAAACATCGGACAGGCGAGGTCGGTCGGATTCTGGTCGGACGTAACTGGCCGGCAAGGTGGAGAAGGGGGCTCCGGAGGACAGCACCTTGGTCTCCATAATTTAGAGGTTGGGAAATATAAAAATTGAATCTTTGGAGGTGGGTTGGGAAGGGGGTCAAAAACCAAAAGCAAAGAAAAAAGCAAGAACCTAATAGCCCCGCTGCTCTGCGTACAAGTAGGAAGTGGGAACTAGGGACAGAGGATCAGCTGCCTGGGCGGAGATGAGCTCCCAAGATCAGCATGCACATTTTTATAAACATGACACCATTAACGCCCTTGGGTCAAGCTTTTTTTTCCCATTGACTTCTGCAGTGGAGCTCTTAACAGGTGTTCAATTTTTATTAGGTGCATATTGTTTAACACTGCGCGACGCACATTAACACTGCTAAACAGATTAAAATTAAAAATAAATATGAATATTTAAATTATAGTCTTTTAAAAGAGAATTATAATAAAATCCCAAGAAAAAAATTAATTACAAAATAAGTCTCAAAAGTTGTCATTTCCTAACTCTTTATTAATGGTGTATATTTGAATTATTTTCTATCAGGGTAATAGTTTTCAAAACAGATAACCATAATGAATATATTACTGTCTCCGATCCTTAATATAAGAGCTAATTAATCAATTTGAGCAAATTAATAAAGTTTGCTGAGTTAGTTATTTGCAATAAATATGTATTGTCTTTTCTATAATACTTTTATTAATTATATGTATTAGCTAGAACCACCATTTGATTAAATATTTAACATGTGCAGCTACTACAATAATTAATTTGAAAACTGGATAAATATAATAAGCAAAGTGAATTGCTCTTTTATATTTAGAATCAAATTGAATGTCAAACTAGTTCTTATATTAAAAATTGAAACTAGTATTCTAGAAAAACTAACCCACTTTTTTTTTATTAAAAAAAGAACTTGGTAAATTTTCTTAATTTATGCAAACTAGTTATTTGATTTACATGTTTAGTATTGGTAAAATTATTTTTCCGTTTTTTTGACAAACCATGTTTTATTCAAAACTAGACTTTGGATTCAGGCAAAATTGGGATCTAATTTAGTTTTTTGTTTTTTAATTTACACATACTGAAATCCAACATTTCACATTTAAGTGATCGCATCGCTCCTGACTACAACAAATATACATTCCTCTCTGGAATAAATGCAATGTATTGCCCATCACTGTCCTGTGTATGATGCATATTTCGGCCTAAAGAAGTGGGCATGTGAAAGAAATGCTGAAAATGAAAAACAATGCCAATCAAACTCTGATTCAAACTCTTTTGGCATCCGTGGATCGCCACCTTAAATTTGTTTTAATTAGTATTTTGGTTCGCCACATGGGGATCGCGGGCCTACCACGTTAATGAGTCAGATACAGATACAGAAATTTTTTTTAAGAGTGTCTATTATAAATTAGATAATTAAACAGCATGCTTCAGAACATAGCAATGCAAAATATCTTGTTACTAAGGGGGTGTTTGACAAAATCAAAACCTAGGTTTTAGAATCACTTTTCCGCAAAACGAGGTAACCTCCTTCACATATTTACTTCGTAATCCGTAAAAGCACTTCTGAAACCATGGTTTGGTTTCTATCCAAACACCCCCTAAAAATCGTCATTTATGATTGCTTGCACTTTTCCCTTTTCAAAGGAGAGAATGCCAATTTTATTGCCGGAACAGGATTCCTTCCTGCTCACACTTCAAAATGTACTCAGATTTATGTATTTTTTTTATAAAAAAAAAGATTCCTCTGAATTTTAAATATATCATCGTGCATTGTATCGTCCTCTGGTAATAATTATGGAGCACTAGCAGCCGTCCAAGATAAAATAAGTTGACCAGTCGTTGAGCCGTTTATCGGTCTGAGTGGGTAATGGAGGAAGGTAACGCTGTGTGAAATAATGAGAAGAGTGAGTAAAGAAGGGGTCGAAAGAGAGGAGACAGGGAAAGGATAAGATGGGGGAAATGAGTGGTGAAGAGGATATGAAATGGGGGAGGGAGGTGGCCTTTTCTGGGAATAAATAGAGTGGAGCCATTTTCATTCAATGTGCGTTGTGGTTCCTATTCGTCAGACGGTGTACGCTTCACACAATGCCCACTCCCAATTCCCTCTCCAACCTTCCACCCTTTCACTTCTTTCTTGCTCCTCCCATCATTGTGCCGTGCTCCCTTTTCTCATCATTTTCATTCCTCGATGTTAATGTCACCCTTTTTTTTTTTTTTTTTCCAATCACGGAACTATTTAATTTTTAACCACTTACTCGCACACGTGAAAAAAAAAATCCAGTTAAATTATCTCTGGACAAATTATGTAAGTATTCTGATATACTCATCTGATCCTAAATATAAAACCCTTATACCCACTTGTATAAGGGTCATATATTTAAGATCGGAGGAGTATTACTTCTATTTTTTAATATAAAAGCTGATTTGACTTTTATTTTGGTTTTAAATGAGACTTCAATCCACTTCATCTCTCATATTTATCAATTTTTTCATAAGGTAGTCTTTGTAATAATAGTTGTTTTGACTAATACACTTGATTAATAAGAATATTTTAAAAAACACAGTACGTATTTATTACAAATAAGTAATTTAACTAATGTTTTTAATTTATTTAAATTAATTAATTAATTTTTATATTAAATAGCAGAGTTAATATGCTGTGAAAGGATATATGATATGAAGTAATTCAAAGTGACAAAATCCATGCAAATTGTCAGCGTTGAGTCGATTGCAATCACAGTTGGCGGAACTTTTTGGATTCGGTATTGATTTTGATTCCATGACGCATCAAACAATTGAAAACAGCCAAACATGAAGAGACTGTAAGAACTTCCAGGAAAAGAAAAAAATGACATCTTTTTCAACATCAAACGTACTCCATCCATCTATTCGTCTTATTAATCACGCTCATGTCGTTGCATCCGTATTTTGACATTTTCAAAAACTCAGCACCTGTCTAATACGACGAATAAACTAAAATAAGAAATAGAAAACGAAATGCATTTTGTGTTTTCAGTAGACACGCGATCGAAGCAAATATGATTTTTTAGTTAACTAATTTGAATTGATAAAAAAATTTACTAAGTTAATTATTTATAATAAATATTATTTTTTTAAAAATATCTTCATTAATCATACGTATTAGCTAAAAGTAGTAAAATACTATTTGATAGAATATTTAATATGTGCAATTATTATAATGAATATTTTGAAAAAAATAAATAAATATAAAAAACAAAGTAGATTGAGATATTATATTTAGGACAAAATTAAATGTCCAACTAATTTTTATATTAATGATAGTTGATATAAGATTTTTTTATAGTTTCTCTCAAGCATTTTATCACAGTAAATTAATGCATCTTATATGGTTCGGGTCATCACCTTCAGCCATGGCATCTGACTCGGATCCGAGTTTAGACTTTTTACGGTGGAGATGGACCAGCCTTGGATGCCAAATCCCCGTGCCCAAGTCGTAACCCATCATAGCTAGCCCTCTCTTTTAATTAACACCACACTTTTTCTTCTTCCCCCCCCCCCCCCCGGCTGCACGGTTGTTTGGGAAATAATTTCTCCATGGTGCAACTTGGCACAAACGAGTGCGCAGATTTTGCGTGATGTGTAAAATTTGATACATAAATCGCATTGTTTATGATTCAAAAAGATATGATATATCAGCTAGCGAATTTTACACATGATATAAACACACAACCTCGCTCACAATTGCATCTTAATTTCAAACGTTAATTTTAATTCACTTTATTTCTCCAGATAAACATTTTTCCTATGTTATCCCATGTATATTTTTTCTTAGTTAATTGCCCAAACAAGGTTTTTCCTATTTGGCAGAAAAGGGGGGGATATTTTAGACCAAGTCATGCGCGTCCTTTGAGTAATTATAATTCATAAACTCAATTAACTGTCTAGTATCAGGAAACTCACGGGCAGAATCCAACCACGCAGCCAACAAGAATGCCCTCGTGACCCAACCACCACGACTTACCAGCCTTTTCTGAGTTTCCCCCAGACTTTCATGTCCGTTTTTATTTGCAGAGGAGGCTAATAAAAGGATCCCCACCCTTCACGCCTCGGTCAGTCGCTTTTCAGACGTTGTTCTCTCGTTTGAAGATGTTGTCTGCTCACGGGGGCATACTTTCTCTCTGGTCTTACAAGTAATCAAATCATATAGATTATTAATTAACTAGAATCGTAGTTTCAAAAATATCCACTAGATGTGTTTACAGAGCAAGAGAATCAATTAATTTTTACTGTTGTGTAAGACAACGTTTTTTTTTTTTTCATATTTTAATCTCGCACGGTACAAGATAATTTATAATAACTTAATTCAAACCACATATCATAAGTAGGAAGAGATTATCCTCAAAATTGTGTATCATATAAGATTGAGAAGAATACTGCCCCCTCTTATGCATAAATGACCTCTACTATATCTCATAATAACTATGACGACGCTTTACAATCCACTGTCCCCCTTTGAAATTAAAATTAAATAAGTTTCGCGCTTATTCATAGTAAGGACATGTTTTGAAAAGTTTTCAATTTTTCTACATCAATATTGAATAGGAAAAAAATTATACTAATAAATAAGGAATGTAATAATCTATTATTTAAATGTTGTTTGTTTGATAAACCCCCATAATTACTTTTTTTCCTTATTAAAAAAAAAAAAGAAGCTCTTTTACAACACTTTGATAGAATTTCCTTTATATGCTTGCGTCGTACAGCACAAAATCATTCAAAATAAAGTAATTCAAACAGCACCGTACAAATAATAGGAAAGAGAACACTCACTTGTGCGGGGAAGTTATTAATCATTAATCCTTCAATCAGATCATCATCAACAGGAGAGGAAAAGAAATGCTCACTGAAATGCTTGTTTAATTTAGAACATATGCATCAGCAGTGGCGGAATCGTGCAAGCAAGAACAAATCTACAAGACCAAGCGACCAGGGCCCCCCCGGGGGGAAACCACAAAAATGAAAAAATCATCGTGGCATCCATCCATCTCGTCCTCATAAAATAGAATAAAATGTTGTTGATGCGTGAAATCTGACACACAATGCGTGATGTCATTCTCAGAAACATGCTGCTTCTCATCGTTGTTAATTCACATTTCACGCTTGGCATGCAATTCGGGGTTTGGTTTGTAATTGAATTCAACGTCGCACCTATTTAATAACTTCACATCCTTTTCCAAACCGTCATGCCTGCCCATTTCCTTGCTGCTATTCACTCGTGAAGGTTGAAGAGACAGAGACTTGAAGCCACCGCTACTTGTCTGTTCAAATCTTTTATCAGCCTCTCTGGAAAAGCTTTTTGGGAGGTAAAAGTCAATTATAAGTGCCATAAGTCAACTTGTAGATTTGAAAGCTATTTGTTATGGTTTTTGACCAATCTGATTTGTGAATCAAAAGTTTTTTTTTTAAACACGATTGTAAAAGCACCAAAAATTTACTTATGACTTACACAGTAGTAACTTTTTAGAATTAAAAGACATTTTTACCCTATGTTTATGTTATTTTTATGCTTCTCTCTATATACATTGTGTGCTTCTCAATCAGCTTTTGGTTATTTATTTTTAATATTCTTTTAAATGAAAATAATTTTTAATAGTTTTTATAATATTCTTAATTTTGAATATTATTTTTCATTTTCTATTTACATAAATTATGGAAAGTATATCATCCAATTAACTATGTGATGTTATTTGGTTCAAAAATTTTCACATTACTATAATTTCTAATTTAAATATATTTTTATTCATTATATATAATTTTTATTATTATAATAATTTAAAATTATTATATTTTGTAAAATTATATTTTTAATTATTTTTTATCATTTAATAAAAATCATACCCATTTAGTCATTCTACAAACTAAACTTACTTATTCAATCATAATCCAAACAATTTTTTTATTTTACAAACTCACTTTTACAAAAGTCAATCCAAACATAAATCACATTAGCCAATCTAAATTTTATCTAATCTGATTTTTCTAGAAGTCAGATTAAAAATAAGTTTTTTTTTTTACTATTAGACCCTATAAAAGTCGGGCCTCTGTTCAGAGAATCAAGATGGTCACTGGGGTCTGGGAATTGGGCCGTTTGTTTGGATAAAAGATATAGGACAGGCCCAATAAGAACCAATCTCAGGCTTATTGCGGTGGGCTTGAGAGTGTTATCATGATTCCAAATAGCTTGCTTTCTCTCTCCTGTTTCAAAGAGCAAGTGTTTCCGTCTTCTTCTTTTTTTTTATAACAAAAGAAACCTCAACTAAAGATGCTATTTAAAACAGTGCCAGCATCCGTCTTCATATTTTTAGCCTGCAATGATTTTCGTAATGAATATTAAAGAGGTGTTCGAGAAATTATAAAAGTGTTTTTCAAAGATATTTTTTTATAAATCGAGATAAATTTTTTTATATATTTATTTTGTATATCATAAAATCACTTTTAAAATTATGATTTTGTTTCTGCCTAAACACTTCTTCATTTATAAAGGTTTTATTATTCTTCTCTGGCTTTCACTTCAGGCAGAGAAATGTTGCCCTGCATTTGGGGCTGGAATGGTCAAGACCGTTATCCCCATCCAACGTCCATCTTCTGCCAATAATATTGTAGAGATTCGATTCAGTCGAGAAATTATAAAGGCCAAAGTGCGGAAAAATCAAAGGAAGTTCCGTCGTCAATCTCGGCGTGCTCCCCCCTCCGGCAAACGTCCTCTTCTCTCTTGTGCCGTGGCACTAAGTCAAGTGAAATCTTCTTGCGCTTTGACTGCCTCTGCGGATCGTAATTTAACCCCCCCCCCCCCAACCTAACTTTTCTGTTCGACGCTTCCCCATCTTATAATCCCCATTTCCCATCACTTTCCCGGGAAGAGCAAGGAAATGGATAGCTCCGCTCAGGAATCCCGCCTCAGATCCGAACACTCCGTCACCTATGATTCCCCTTATCCAATCTATGCCATGGCCTTCTCTTCCGCCCCTTCTCTTGCTTCTCCTCACCAACGAATCGCAGTGGGTAGCTTCATTGAAGATTACAATAACCGCGTCGATATTATCTCCTTCAACGCCGACTCTCCCTCCCTTCGACCCCAACCTTCCCTCTCTTTCGACCACCCCTACCCGCCTACTAAACTTATGTTCCACCCCAACGCCCACTCTACTCTTCGAAAGTCCTCCTCCGACCTCCTCGCGACTTCCGGTGACTATCTTCGCCTCTGGGAGGTTCGGGAAAATTCCGTCGACACAATTTCACTTCTTAACAACAGCAAGACCAGCGAGTTCTGTGCCCCCTTGACCTCCTTCGATTGGAACGACATCGAACCCAAGAGAATTGGGACTTCCAGCATCGACACTACTTGTACGATTTGGGATATCGAAAAGGGGGTTGTCGAAACGCAGTTAATTGCGCACGATAAGGAGGTTTATGATATTGCTTGGGGCGAGGCTAGAGTGTTTGCGTCTGTTTCGGCGGATGGTTCTGTTAGAATCTTCGACCTGAGGGACAAGGAGCACTCCACGATTATATACGAGAGTCCGCAGCCAGATACGCCTCTGCTCAGGTTGGCTTGGAATAAGCAGGACCTGAGGTACATGGCCACTATACTGATGGATAGCAATAAGATTGTGATATTGGATATTAGATCACCGACCATGCCGGTGGCGGAGTTGGAGAGGCATCGTGCCTGCGTGAATGCTATTGCTTGGGCTCCTCAGAGTTCAAGGCATATTTGTTCGGCGGGGGATGACTCGCAGGCCCTTATTTGGGAGTTGCCTACTGTGGCTGGACCTAATGGAATTGATCCCATGTCTATGTATTCTGCTGCCTCTGAAATTAATCAACTGCAATGGTCTGCTGCTCAGCCTGACTGGATTGCCATTGCTTTTGCGAACAAGATGCAGCTTTTGAAGGTTTGAGGTGAGAGAACAACTTCCGATAGAACAGTATTTTTACAATGTACTGAAGCATGAATTTGTACATATAAAGGGCTCGTTTAACTTAGAATATCTTCTTCTGCTCTTACATAATTCTTAGTGCTTTCAGCCTATGCCATTCCTCAGGACATTTTGGTGACGTTTTGTTTTTTTGGGTATGTGTTTCGCCATCTTTATGGAGAAGATATCAGACTTCTTAGTAAATTTGGTGTTTACTAAAGGAATGATCGCAAGATTTTGTTCCAATATTACCTCCCAAAGTTGTTCTTCCATTCTCATTATTTAATCATGACAAGAGTCAGAAATCAGATGGGTAATTTCCGAATTGTGAGTTGTAAAAATTAAATCAAAATTGTAGGAGTCAGAAATGATGTGCGCGCCGGTGTATGCATTGCATGTGAAGCGGAAGCAGATTTTACTCAAGATGTGACAAAACTACTTAACCATAAGTCTCACGAATCACAATCACTAACAAGCTCTTGGTAGAAAGTAGAAAGAAACAACTCAGGTAACCGAATCAGAGGATTAGAAGTTTCTTGATGGCAAAATTTTGAGAATGGAAGAGCGATGTGAAGTGGCACTCGTTATTCATGGCACGTTGGATTTTTTAAAGCGATCAAGGTATTAAAAGCCAAGCCGCTAAGGTTTAATGAAATTCGTGTCGCAGCATTTGTTTTGAGCTTCACAGAAAGGAGTTAAAACGGTCATCTGTTTTTCACACTTGGGCGAAAATTTCCCAACTTTGTGCCGATAAAACACACGGGAACTCGCTGGAAACTAAATCAAAGTTGGTCAATAATGGTCCAACTTTGTGACTGACAAGAAATATGCGGGAACTCGATGGAAACTAAACCAGATGAATTGGCGAGACATTTGATTCTTGTTTACTGGCTCAAATCACAGGATTCCAGTAATTCCTGTTCAAAGTTTGATTCGTCTGGTTATTGTATATGCCCTTCTCCTTAATCTGCTCAAGGTTACCTTCTTCTGTAATTAAAGGCATTGTTATTTAACTTGGGTTTGCTCATTGTTGTTGCATCTGCTTTTTATATTGTGCTCGTTTTATCTGTATGCTAGCTTTCCATCTCTTTTGTTTGTTGTTAATATCAATTTCCTAGCATCCTAGATGTTTTGATGATATTTTTTTGCTACATTTTGCATATGTCTTCATTGGAAAATCTCCGTTGTTCATTACATTGTCAAAATTATAAGCACCCTTATCATTTCTGCTCTGTTCACTACAGTTTATTGTTTCCTCATGCTGCAGATATCCTCATGCGAGTTGGAAGGTAAAGACTCACTTGCATGACACAGGGCTTCATGTTTCACTAAGATTAGAGCTTGCTTTATAGAAATTGATCTTGATTGGGAAGGTATGTTTTGGTTCTAAAACGATGGCCTTTTTATGTGTTAATATATGGTTATTGGGCTGGTAATAGGATTCTGGACTACTGAATTTTTCTTGGATTATGTTATAGCATAGAGTAGCTGTGATTGTTCCCTCGCCTCCCATTTTGTATTCTATGTACCTGTTTCTTCGACATTCAATATGTTCAATTGAGGTGATAAAAGTAATGGAACTTCGTAGGATTTCAGTTCTGTAATTATCAATGCATATTGGGATATCTGCTATTTTTTTGGCTTCTCGTGAGATAACGTAATCTAGGTGCTAGAAGTGAAGAAGTGAAGAAGTAGAGGGTAAGTAACTATCCAGTGTCACTGTTAACAGCTGGGAATACTAGAATACCTTTCGTTAATTGAAGAGAGCATCTCTTGTGAATTCGAATAGAGACTATTAGTTTAGGGTTTTATTTAGTATAATGAAAAGTGAAATGCCAACATATGGAGCAACTGATTGGAGATTGGTATGCAGACTGCCGCATGCTTGAATAGTGTCAGCAAAAAGTCAGCTGAAAAGATGTATCTTTTTCCTTGTACCCCGCACGTCTTAACAATTTCAACAGCCATTAAATCCCCTGATAGAAGTTGTTGTGGGGCCCATTAAATCCGTCTTGAGTTCTCTTCTAGATATTCATATAGACACATTCAAATTTAGCTTCAAAGCTTTCGGCAAGTTGTTGGATGAGGAGCCTAAAACTCAGATCAGGAAGTCAATAACTGCGAAATGAAGATAAACAATAACTTGCAGAGTTGCAGTGAACGGGAGGCTATTTAATAGACTAAATAATGAGAGGGCCACTTACTGAAGTCTGAAATAGTTACAGGGAGAGGTTAGCTGTTTATTTGTTGATTTATTGTTTTGGGTAAGAAAGAAGGCCTAAAGCCTATAAATAAAGATTACATCAAAGGGAATTAAATCCCAAACAGTCTTGTTGGAGAACCTCCTTCAGTTGCTCGGGACAGTTAGGCGAGATAGAAGACTCGGATATACCTCTTTTGGCTAAAGCATCGGCCACCACAATTAAGCTCCTTGGCATATATTGCAATCTGACTTCCCACTGAAACTTTAGCATACTCTGTATCTCCATGAAGACCAAACTGCAAGGTTAGCTGTTTATGAGACATATTAGGTTTGCCAAAATATAAAAAGATGAATCTGCTCAGAGGACGTGAGACATCGGCAAGAAAAGTCCTTGGAATTATTCTGTATTGTTTCTGCAATACCCGATCACTCTGATGGTTGGATGGATTTGCAGTGTAAATTTAGCTGGTTGTGGACGTAATTGTTCAAGTTCATCCTCAAATCGACATCGCCTTCATCTTCATGCCAAATTTATTTGTCATGTACAAGTAAAAAGTTGATAGATGATTGCGACGACTAGTCTATGCTAATCGTTCGGTTCAAGGAATTATGGTAATATCCTAATTTTCCACTTATGCTTAACAGCACCGTAATGGATTCTGAACTACCAACTAAGTCTTTGAACAAAAAAGCAAGTCTGTAGATGATTCCCAAAATGATCCTTTCGTGGCATTAATACTGAAGGGAAGCAAGAAAAATCACTATCAGTTTTCTGTTAGTAAAAGGAGACCGGTCGGAGTTTTCTGAGCAAATCAGATTCTTTTAATTCTTTTACTTCAGAGGGAGAGTCTTGGGGACTCACAAGTCATCTTATGATATATATATTTTTTTTCCTGGGTATTATTATATCTTTACTTAAGTTGACTTTGAGAGCATTCAAATTCCTTGCGAGGGTGGAGACGGAATCCACTACTCAAGCCGTGGTGATTAATTCCGCTCCACCAAAAGAAAGTGCCACGTGGATCCTTTGTATTTCTCCACGGGGGACCTTAGCGAAACGGCACCACAGGAGGCCAACCCATCCTTGGTATACGGCCGATTTTTCTTTTTTGGATTACTCCATCCGGTATCTCAGGGAAATAGACGTTTTTTAGCCGTGACAACGTCCCCAGACTAATCCGGATTCGGGGGCTTGCAAGGATCCATACGGACGGCGCCCCCTGGCCCCTTGGAGTGCTGCGTTCCCACGTCTCGAACCCGACATCCGTGGTTAAGCTAGGACGACCCCAGCCAGTCGACCTAACCCCGCGGGGTTTGCCGATTTTTCTTTTTTATGGCCTGGAAACCCAGTCCTAAGCATGAACATATAGGGTGGTTTAACTCTTAAAATTTAGGAATTTTCATTAGTTTTATTTGGATTACTCAATCCAGTTGATTAAATTAGTTGATAAACAAATTCAAGCAACTAAAATTTAAGTAAAATGCATATAAACTAACTTCATCAATATATAGAAATATGGATTGATTTCCTAAACAATTATCATAGTCAACCCACCTAATTCTACATATATTTTATTTGGAAGAGCTTTAATAAACTATTTTACATTTTTTTAATTATTAGAAAAATAATACTGAGTTGAATAATATTCATTATATGCAAAATTAGTAGTCTAAATGTTACAATTTAATGCTGGTAAAAAATGTTATAATTTAATAATTAGCTACGTTGGTTTGGATTTAATTAAATTGAAATTGGAAAAAAATTTTAGCTCATCTGGCTATGGTTGGTGAGTCTCTCAACGAAAATTTCTGCATACGTTAAGGTTTGAACTCGAAACCTTATTTAAACAGTACCAAGCCGTTTAACACTTGGATTATTCTCCCTTGGTTAAACAATTTTGAACGTAATGAATTTAATCTTGAAGAATGAAGACCTAGGATGAAAAAGGGTTCGTCAAGACGAGGATATCTTGTTCCAAACAAACTCCAATTTCCACCTCTCGTTCTTTTTCCTACCCACAAATCGATCGCCCCCACTCTGCCTCTCGCCCTCCTCCTTCCCCCTCCTTACCTCGCCCACTATGGACCTCACCATTAACGACCAACTTTTGCTGCAACAACAACACAACTTTCACTCTGGAAACCACCGTTGTTGACATGTCGCCGCCGCCGCCGCCGTCGCCACTGGCCAACATCCACGAAAATCTCCTCTCCGTTCCCCACAAACTCCCCACCTTACCGGATCTCTTCCTCACAGCTCTCTCTGTTTGCTTCCTCTTCACGTCCTCCACTAAGTCCACTAAGTCCACCGTCTCCCCCAGATGCCCTTTCCTCTCTTTCCCCCTGAACCCTCGTCGTTTTCTTAAAATCCCCGCCATGTCCCACTCCGCATCGAACCATAAGATTAATCTGCTCCCTCGTCGCCACAACTTCGCGTCTCCGCAGTCTCTCTCCGAGTGGCTCAAGACCCGTTTGCCGTCTGACTCCTTCGCCTCCTGGGGTGTGAAGCCGGGCACCAAGAACGTTCACAACCTCTGGCTCGAACTCTCTGAAGGCGAAACCTCTCTTGCTGATTCCACTCCTCCGGTTCGCACGGTTCAGGTTGTCACGGTTCGAGTCCTCGGCAAAGATGGGAAAATTTTGGTTGAGTCACACCAGGAGTTATCGGACGGTAATGTCAGAAAACGGGGCCGACCCTTATCGGAGAAGATGAAACCCAGTGAGGACCCGGAATCGGCTGCTATGAGGGCAATCAAAGAAGAGCTTGGCTCTGTGGTTTTTGGGTCTGAGGCCGATGTGGACGTCTGTGAAATTGTGACGATTGATCCGAATTCATATGGGATGAAGGTGGAGGAGCGGAATTCGGATTCGTATCCCGGTTTGCCTGGTTGCTACGTTTTGCATACCTTGAATGCAACTGTTGAGGGGTTGCCGGAGGGAGATTTTTGTACGTTTGAGGTTGACGAGTATGGAAATCTTGACGAAAAAAGTGTTGCTGACAAGGCGGTCTCTGTGAAGAAGCATTACTGGACGTGGGTTAGTGCTGATTCAATGGAATCTTGATTTGAAGTTGAGTTGAAGCTAACATTCGAACTTCAAGTTTTTTATACGGTATTATACGAATAATTTTCATCTTGTAAAGTGATGTGAGGTTTTGGTAAATAAGTTCATACCATAATTATCGTTCTCCATTATAGTTTTAGATGGAGTTATCATTCTCCATTATAGTTTTAGATGGAGATAAACTACAATTACTACATGATATCTTTGTGGCCAGCTCAGTTTTCAAGACGTATAGGATTTTTGCTTGTTTCTGTGTAATTATGCGGCTTTAGCAGCGTTGGTTGTAAAACCGGATAATTGGACAATGGTTTTCGCGAAGGTTCCTTTTCTTGAATGCGCGCCATCACTTGTTGGCAAAAAATAGACACAGCGATTTGGGTACTAACTTTTTCAGCGGTTCAAAACTTGCTTCACTCAACTGATATTATAGGTTAGTACAGTGATAGGGCACTGATGATCCCTATTGATCATCATATCTACTCCATGTTAGGTGTCTTTTGGTTTATTGTTGGGCTATTACTTGTTAGATCCATTTGCAAAATCTTGAAGACATGATTTAGATTCTATAAACGAATTCTCCCCGGACTTTTTTTACAACGAACTTGTAAGGGATTACACGAGATATAGTTGAGTCATAAGCTAAGTTTTGATTTTTAGTTTGAAGCTCTGTATTGGCATTACTTTGTTCAATATGTTGGCGGTGTGCATTTAGTAGAGTCAATGATCTAATATGTTCTTGGTAGTTTTGGATGGCAATGGAAGTGAAGTAATTTCTTGCAGCTCGAAACTGGGCTTAATGAGATGCTGTTAAGCTCATACTTCTTTAGGCTGTTTTCTTGTGCTCCTGTCTTCACGTGGATATGTAATTATAATAGCCTGCAACTCGAGTTTACGGATCGGAATCTTTTAGGCGATTGGATTTGTAATCCTTACGCGAGCAGCAATTCCGCTGGTTGTTCAAGTGATGAAAGGTTGTCATCCGAAGGATAGGGATTAGTGATGTATTTATAATTTAGGGTTTTTTTATACATCCGTCTATTGCTAGAGAAGTATTAAAGTCTACGGAAGCTGCACACTTGGTTTGGTTGCAAACAAAGAGTGAGGTGTCAAGACAGGACCATAATGTGATATGACTCAGATAGCAGATTGATTCCCCTCAAAGACATAGCCTCAGCTACACATTGCTGCGGGCTAGGCTTTCACTCTTTGTAATATTCTTCAAGGTGTCTGTATTGATATGTTTAAAATGAGAGCCCAAGCCGTGGTGGGTGCCTCTCTTTGACAGCGGATATTGTGCCAGGTGCTTGTGCAGTTGACAAAACAGAGGAGACTTCCTGGCAAAATGAAGCATTTGTCTTGCACATGCATGTGCATCCCCTGTGTACACATACACGTGTGTTCGCGCTAATATGCCAAACATTTAGTGCCTCGTACGATTGCCCTTTGCCCGTTGCCACCGTTATTTCTCTTTTCGGGTGTTTTTTTTTTTGGGGGGGGGGGGATTAAACATTGAGAAACCAGTGCGTGACAAGCACTTGATTAAAGAAACATTGAAACAATAGAGGTCTAATTACAAACTCTTAAGCTAGAAAGACTTTGGGTTTGTTCGTTTAATCCAAAGTTCCAAACACTCTGTGTGAACGAGAATTTTGTGTTAATTTGGTCTGCTAGCATCTAGGGTGGGCTTCATTTTCAGAACCCAAATTAATTTATATAGATTAAAAAACAAATGACTACGGTGTTAGCATGAAGATGAGGAAGGTGTTCACGTCTCCGTCCAGGTTTTTTGTTTCTTCGGACATTTTCCGCGTGAGCCCTCGTAGCTATTGCTGAGTAGTGGGGAGAGCATTTGATAGTAGAAGGCGTATTTTGGTTGGGTGCTGGGTGATCTAACTAGTGAGAGCAAACATGTTCTTGAGATCGCATTCTGGGCACCCATTTTGCTCATCTGCTCAGTTCTTTGCAATATTCTTCATTCAACTCCTGAAGATGGTTTATTCTCTTTAGGTGCTTGGTGCTTGAGTGGGAGAAGACAGGAGATAGATATGTGCTAAACGACAATTTTGGTTGACTCCTTCCCTAAAGTCAATACCCGTGGTTGAAAGCTAATGTTGATTATTCCCAACCTAGCGCCCAACATGGTTCTTTTAGTGTGTTTGGAATTATTATCTCATTGGAATATTTGGTCGATAATAGAGTACAATGGCACTGTATAACTTATGTAGTTGATCCCATTTGATAGGTATAAGGTTTGTTGCTGCTGCTTCTGTGTTATTTTAGTGTGTTTGGAATTATGAACCGGTTTCGCCAAATGCAAATTTGTTGGTTTGGGTGAAACTATGTTGTTAACCTTTTTAACAAAAGAAAGGGTTTTTAAGATTTCATGTTTTGTCATTAAAAATAAAAAAAAAAAAAAATTTCTCACATTCAACGATTAATAACTATTAGCAGGATGCCTTTACTTGTCACAAGATGGACAGATTAAAAGTTACTTTCTAAAAGGATATCTTTAAAGGAAGGCTGGTGATTTAATTCTGAAGAAAAATTGGAAGTAGGACAAGTGTTGGACATGCCCTTCCTGGCTTCCTCTGCATCCAAGGCCAACGCTTCCGATGGACCTCGTAAAATCATACTTAGCGATAAAGTAAACCCACTTGAATCCACAAGACCATTTGATAATCATTTTAATCAAGCGAGATGCCACTTTCTTGTTCATTTCCGTCCCTAACTCCCCATGGCATCGGGGACCAGCATATAGAGTGGAGTGTTCTGGCTTTTTAAATCTTCAAAAAGTTATGCCACTTTATGATTTTGCGGTACAGGGCTTTTCTTCAAAAAAGGCAATGGTGGTGGAGTTATTTTTGTCCACATCATGATTTTATATGGTTTTAACAAGGGGGAAAGAGAAACAATCTGATATGAAATTAGGTAACAGACTTTAAGTGGGTTTACTTTTGCAGGTGGTACCGCTTCTACAGTTGATTAAATCATCACAAGCCCTTGAGAAACCATTAGAGAATAGTTTCATCCCTAATATATAGGTTGTTAGAAGGTTCGTTGGTTCAAGAGGCATGGTGTGTTGCATTTGAAAAAATGGTTCACTTTAAAACCAAGTGTTGAAATTCCGTCCTGGGTGTATTCATTTCAGACATGGCTGTACAATTCCATATCTTGGGCATGCCTATGGTCTATGATTCTTAAAGGTAGGGAATTGACATGAAATCTGCAGAACCTTGGCGAGAAAACCACCAATTTTGGTCTTGTTTGTTTGTCTTGGAATCTCCATTGCATATTCTTCAAGTGAAATTCTTTTCTTCCTAGCACCCCAATACTTGTGAATCCACTTCCCCATGCACATACGCGGACGTGAAATTCCCAAACGGCGTAAAACAAGTCCAAAGGGAAGAAGATTAATACTTTTTTTTTTTTTTTTACCTAAAAATAGAATTAAGACTTACGTCTAGTATGGATGTCTATATGTACCGTCCAATTTGTCCCTTATGACACGATAAAGAATCTCTCTGAAGGAATGACAACAAGGGGAACCACAGATAAGGATTTGACAGGCACTATTTTTTCTCCTTTTCAATTCACACTTGTTAAATGCTAACTTCCAGTCTTACCATTCAAACATACACGCATAAGTAAATTAATTACACCAACCAAAAGCAGATCTCAGAAATGATAGTAGTAGATTCATTATACTAATGGAAATCAGTTTAAACTGTGGTAGAACACTGAGCAGCCTGGTTTGAAGTGAGAGGAGCAGAAGGAGGTACGGAGGGTCCGAAGGCCATGACTGAAACACAATTAACTTGGAACCCATAATGCCCAGTGACCGACGTTGCCACTTTCCACCGTAGCCTTCCACTTACCTTGAGATTCAAAGCCAGTCTTCCAACAGTTTGGTCACGACCCATTTCATAGCCAAGTGAGGGAGCCGCAGGGACTTGATCTCCCACCAGAGAGGCCGTCAAGAGATTGCTCTCTTCATGGTCTTGGTAGAACGGTGGCAGGTAGGTATATGAAGTTATCAGCTGGCCCTTGTAGGTTGCGTATACTTGGAAGTCGTCATAGTAAATGGCGACTTTCTGGTTTGGATTCTTTGAGAGCAGCGTGAGCTGAATGGAAGAGTTTATGTGGGAACCTGAGAGACTGAGCTGGTAGACATCAACTTGTTGGAGGGAGAATTGAGGCTTGGCAGGACGCAGGATGACCCATATCGCGAGTGATAGTAGAAGAATTGCAGTGATGAATGAAGAGAGGGCCCAAAAGAGCTTCTTGTAGTTTCTTTCAATCTTGAAGCCTTGCTTGTGCTCAGCACAGTGTTTTGGAGATTTTATTGTGATTTGAGACATCGACTAGACAGAAGGAGGGTTATTACTGTGAGCAAGATGAGAGGGAGGGTGAGGAGAAGAGAAAAAGCAGCATAGATACTAATTCTTGGTGAATCACAAGAGGGGTGGGATGGGTTATAAATAGAGCAAAATCCTGAATTAATTTGTCCCATGCCCACTCTTTTTTCGCTTATTAAGTCGCTATTTACAAAACTCGAAAACACCCGTACATACGTATAGGTATTCTTGTATATGTAAGGCAAACTCTTTCTTGTCGCATCACACATATATAGGTGTTCTGGATATTTCTGCATATATTGAATCGTTTGATGACGAAGACTTGGAAAATTCATCATTAAGGCATATGCATAAATGAACTGTGTAGTTGGCTGAAATATAGCAGAAATTAAAAAGTGATTTACAAGTTCCTGCGGGACGAAGTTAAGGGAAATGTAGCGTTGTGAACCATACAAAAACCTATTTCATACCGTCGAGATAGGTTTATGTGCAATCTGATCCATGTGAAGCTATTGATCCTTGCATCATCGTCCACCATTAACCAATTGCTTGTTGCTCATTGCGAGCGATTATATGGATGAAGGTGTCGGTGGGACAAGCAATGCCTTTGGGCCACCACTAGATTGACATACGAAGTACATAGCTCAACAACAGCAAAATTTCACACCTGAACTCTGTGCAGAAAGAGCAGAAAAGTAACTTTGCTGATAAATGTGTAGAATAAGTGCTTTTGTACCGCAACACGCTTTGGTCACTTTCTTACTTTTTTTCATAATGAAATGAATGAGACCACCATGAAACGCTACAATCCAAATCTGTGGCTATAACTGTCCCTAATCCAGCATGCCCTCATTGGTGCTATTTAGTGCGCAATCCTTTCCTGAAACTCCTATTGCAGACAAAAACTGAAGAACTTCTTCCGGAACTTTAATTACTTTAAAACCGAATAAAAAACCATGAGCTTGATGCTTAATTAATAGCTCTGAATGATAAATAATTCACAGAAAGACTCAGTTACAGGCATGTTGCTGTGCACTGGCAACTAGAAGGTGAACAAATTTTGCTCCTTTGATTTGTTATACTTTCGGAGGGAGCTCTATCCCTCAGAATTAGTCTACTATATTAAGCCACACAAGAGTTTTAGACAAATGAAGGGACTAATGTTTGTGCTGGGAAAAGATAAAACCAATTAGCCGCATAATGTGCATGTCACTGGTGATGATTACCAGCTGTAATCACAGAATGGGTAGGGTACACATGGATACAAAAGAGGACACGCATTGAATTGCAGGAGGGTCCCACTTATTCTTAAGTACTCTTCTATGGTCTTTTTTCGCTAAAAATAACATAAGTGACCGTCATTCAATTTACAAACAAAACCAGTACAAATATTTTAAAGATTTTTTCATATAGTTTATTATTAATATTTATTTACATTTTCAATAGGATTTGAATAGGAAATAATATATCTAGTTCACATCCTTGAAGTTCTTGTACCAAATCAAAACATGTAGATTTTTATATTATTATATGACAAACTCTAGATATTAATATTGGTACCACTTGCCAATAAAGTCTAGTGGCATAAATGAACTCCTACAAATAAAAGGTGACAGAATTCTAATTATACATGAGGGTGCAGCTACATCGGACGACGTGAGTGCTAAGAGAAGAAAATTTAGATGTGCTTAAACCTGTATACATGATTGGGTTGATTTGTTAGTTTTGCGTTGCAATTTTTCCGAGTTTGTGGCCTCATTTTCCTTTCAGCTTATAACCACCGAAGGTCAGAAAGGAAAAAACAATGGCTTGAAGAGCCGCGAAGCGATGGGGAAACTTTGGCCACGTAGCCTTTGTTAACAAGCAAGCGGCTTGGTGGCATTTCCTTCTTCCCCGTGTCCACCGTAATTGTTGACTTGTGAATTTCTAATTTAATTGTCTAATTAATTATTATGACTTCACAAGGCAACAGAGCAAGCGGAAAGTGAAGGAAATCTACAAAATTTAAGAAACGACTTCTTTTGCTTTTGAAGTTGAGGAGGACTGGCTTGAGTGATTTACGTCAGACGAACGATTATACAGTCAGTGAACTATTTCTTAGTGGTTGAATAAATGCATGGTAACTTGGCAATATAAGAAGCCTACCCTATTGCTTAGGAGTTTGAAAGGCATGCAGAGACGTCTAATATTAGTCTTGCTTTTGAAGCTTCCTTTTCTTTGCCTCTTCCAGTTATTATTGGGGCCTTTCAATCATGAGAATGTGGATGACCCCATTTAGCTTAGTGGTTTGGTTTCTCATCTTCTCAACTTTCTTTCTTGCCCCAGCAGTTCTTTAGTGCTCATTTCTTCATCTGGGACCATTAGGACCCGCAGTTTCTTCATGATTAATAAAAAGAACTGATCTTTTGCTTTCTTTTCCTAAGAAATACGAAATGTCTTTGAAGCTTGGATTCAATATGTTAGTTCCTTGAATTTTGTGTACTGTCGGACAAGGATCTCCGCCAAACATTTGGCAAAACTGAGCAAGCAGCCAAATAGATAATTGTGTCTCTAGATAAATATGCAAGCTAGCTTAAATTGGCTGTTGGGAAGTGTATATTGCATACATATATTTGACAGAAAAAGAAAAAAGGAAAAACACTTGTTCAGACAACTTTTGGCATCATTGCTCCCTTGATGGCGGCTTCTCGCATTTGTCCGATTGTCTATATTTGCCCACAATTCATCTGAAAGCTTCAGGTGATGAGATAAATCGTCCGATACAACTTGAAAGTTGAAGCCGACCCTGGATGATGACCGTTTTAAGGTTCTGGAATTAATTAATGCTCACATATTTGCTTCCCTTTAATCTCCAAATCAGTAACGTATAGTTAATCGTCCTCATCCCCAAGTTCAGCGTAGCACGGCAAATCCCACAAGGATGGTGGCTTTGCCTATGCTGCGTCGTACTCTATGCAGCTAACCGGGAAAAGTCTAATATTTAAAGAACAAAAAACCGAACTCGACACTAAACCGATTAAGTTAGTGGTTCAAAGGTCAATTAGTCAGACAAGATCAATTTACAGCCAAACTAGTCATATTAAAATAATATGATTTAATTGAATACAACAACATCAATAACCATTAATAACAAAATATAAGAAAATATAATAATAATTTGATTGTAATAATAACAAAGTTCAATAATATTGAGAATTTTAATTTTTACGATTTATCAATAACTAAAATTAATAATCACTTAGTGACTAAGATATTAGGAGCTGGATAAGGGGGGAAAAGATCCACATCAACATAATTATTCAAACCGGTTCATGCCCTTTTTTACCAGTTTATCCCCCTCAATTTGATCGGTTTGACATCAATTCAACTTTTGACTAGTTTATTACCCAAACCAAATTAGACTATTGACTGAGTTACCGGTTAAACCAGCCAATTTGGTTTTTTTTTTTTTGCCAGTATTCCTTACTTAACTTCCTTTTTCCTCCCTTTTCTTTTTCTCCTTTTGGCAAATATGGTGGTGGAAGAGTAATCATTTTGAAACACTTTCAAATGCACTCTTTAGTAAAGCTTGCTTGAGAAACTGTCAACCATACATAAAACGATGATAAGCAAATCAAGAAATTAATGATATCGAACGAGTAGCTAAAAGTTGATTGATTTTACGAGTATTGGAAAATTGCCCTTTTATTTTCTAAGAAGCCCCTACATGAGTAATCAGCTAGTTCTTGCGAGTAAACAAATACTTACAAATAAATAATTAGCCAGGCAGATCCCTCTAAAACTGAATATAATAACGGTCATATGTTACATTAGGTACATTATATGTCAAGATTTAGAAGAAGGGTCAACCAGGAAATGACTTTAGACAGCATATACAGATCATGTGTTCCCGGTATTCAAGGACTCCTAAGAAAAAAGAATTTGTAGTTATTTATACTAACAACGGTGCTCTTATTCTCAGCCATCTTTGCCTGCAGCCTGAGGTTCATGGTGCACTTGAACAAATTGTCCTTTCACCCTGGGACGCTGCTCTGCAAGTCTCTTTCTGCTTTCATACCGAACCTGTTACGAGTATAAGGTGAAGTTAGGAAATAAATAAGGGGAAGTCTTGGCAGAAATATGATGGCACTGTAACATAAGGTGATGCTAATAGTAGAGGACCTTCTTCTCATAACATCTCTCTTTCCTTTTCAAACGAAACTTGTTGAGGGCTGCTTCTCTTTGGATGGATCGATGAGAATTTGCATTGTTTGTGAGATCTTCATTCTTCACCTCTGATGCAGTCCTGACTATGACAGCCTGATCAACGTTGCCATTACTTCCACAGTTGCTGCCGTAGCCAATGCTGTTCATGCGACTCAAATTTCCATTGCAGAAACTACTGCTTCTGCTTAGATCGGTTGCAGGAGAAATATGTCCTCGATCTTCCACATGTTCCAACTTGTGATCCTGCACATAAACAATGTGGCTTGCAAGGTTCTTTCCACTTTGACCTCGAGCTTCATAAAGCTGCTCTGAACTATTTTTGCCATTAGACAGACAATATGCATTCGCTTGAAAGGTAGACACAGCAGATGTTGGATTTGGCCCTAATGGTGGATCTGACCGCGTAGAAAACATAGGAGGAGGGACAGAACCATAGGCTTTGCATAGATCGTTGAACCTTATTCCCCTTACTGGAATTGGGAGGGAACGCGGCTGCTCTGAGAATGAAGTTGCGAGTTTAGATTCTTTAGATTGGGCCGTAGTGGGTGACACAATACTTCTTTGCATACTCGGTGTTGAACTATCTGAGTTATAGCCAGTAGCAACGTAAGAGTTATTTTTGTCACAATTTGTTCCCTGTTCTTTTTCTATATCACAAAAGTTAGTGAGACCTGTTGGTGGTGCTTGCAACTGTCTGCTGGTATACCTGCATGAGAGATCATTTAATTAATAAGAAAAGAGAGCTATTTGGGAAGAGGGAGTTCGTAGAAGCAACCTAACAAAATCCAAGAACTTACAGAAATACTTCAACAAAGCTAATTTTAATTTGATTCTTAAAGCTTTTTTGTGGGGTAATTTTCAGAATCTTATATGTGATTGAACCATCTTTCGAAGTTCCCCGGAAAAAAAATCTCGAGTCCTCACCATTTGAAAGCTGAGGCATCGGAATGCACGAGGGTTTGCCTATCTTTGGAGATTTCATTCTCAAAGCTGCTGGGATGATCTCTTCTCAAGGAAAGATCTAACTGTGGAGAGAAGTCAAACATGCCCGTGCAATTGACTGTGGAACTTTTGGGACTGCATTTTGGATGAGCATGGAATGCTCCAATCAAGTCAATAGCTTCCTGGGAAGAGCTAATTTGAACATAGTGATTATCATGAGTTTCACCACCGATACTAGCACTCCTATTCTCTGGACAGCCATTGGTGCCATGAGCTGTGCCTGTCTTACCATTTTTGCAGATGCCCAAAGTTGATCCTGATGAATAAGAGTTGCTGCAATTTAGATTCTTCCTTGTAAAGTAGAATAAATATATAACACCAAGGCATTTAGCCTCTAGAAATTTACCTCCAGCATGATTATCATGCACAATCGATGTGAGGCCTAAATGAATGCAAGTTTCAACCTCCTGAATCTTTTCATCACTCGGACACGAGTCACCACATCTTAGATGAGCAAATTCTTCAACATTTTCCGTAGGGGCAGTTTCAGCTTCCAAATCAGGCTTTGTACAGGAGCTCTGCATGAGACAACAACGTGCAATCTCTATATGAAACTTCAGGTAGCCAACCCAAACTGAAAGCAGATTCCACTCAACAAGAGTCTTATAAAGATTAAAAAGAATGCATATTCCCCAGTCCTCTTCTATCTAATTTGTAACTAAATTTCTTTTAAAAAAAAAATCTGTGATATTTTAGACTTTGATATGTAGGCTTGCCTATCTTGCCCTAAAGATGTCATTGCTGCTTTTGGAAAGACTTTTCATTTGTAATAAACAACAAATGAATTTAACGGAGAAGGCGGGGAGGGGATGGCACACGATAAGTACAAAGACTTGATGCCAACATGCTATAACCAAGAAAAATCAACTTCAACTGAGATTATCTTTTACTTAAATGCCGTTCTAGTTTTTTCACTGCACAACACAAATAATGAAGAGGACAATTTTTCACCATTCAAAACATGAAAGGATTATGAATTTTTCATCCAATTTTTAAGATAAGCAAGACCAACCTGAGCATCACTTCCTTTCTCAATTAATTCCTTATTTTTTTGAATGCATGCGGCATCTCCACTTGAACGACTAGCAGCATTATTTTCAGCAGTGGCTTCAACCTTCTGTTGAGCAACACCCTCATCTTGGAGACCATTTAAACTGATTATTGACTGAAACAAAAATAAATAACGAAAAAAAAAAGGTTCATCAATGATAACATTCAAGTATTTAAAAGAATGAACAGAACTGAGAACAGTGGGTGCAAAAATCATACTGATCGCCTTCTCCAAACATGCTGCCACAAATTCCTCAGCTCATTTTTCCTAATGGGCTTAACAAGATAGTCAGCAGCACCTTTCAACATGCACTTGTATACTGTGCTAATCGAATCTTGCGAGGACATCACTGGAGTGCAGGAAAAAGCCAGAACAGTTAAACTTTTGTGTTGACATAGTGGAAAGGAAGCCAATAATTATAACAGCCAGAGATTCTACTCTCGGTATCATACTTATAACAGGAATGATTTTGCAAATCTCATGCTCCATAATTAAGGTCAGAAGCGCATAGCCAGATATGGAAGGCAAATCTACTTCTGTCAGTATTAGATCAATATTGTGCGACCTTCCCTTCAGCATTTCCCAAGCTTTCAGGCCATCAGGAACAGCAGTCACTGCCCAAAATGGATGGAAAAATTTATTAGAGTTCCGACATCATGGAAATAGATTTGGACTTAGTTGGAAGGTGCTATTAATTCCTTTAGGAACCCAAATTCCCTTATCTGAGCACCCCACCCTTTGCTCAGGAATTTGGGCCTGGCGGACCTGGAAGAAAATGGTAAACTTGTTTCTTTTTTATTGTCCCAAGCAACCATGTATTACATAACACTAGAAAGGGAGTATTCCGTGTGTGTGCGCGCGCGCGCGCGTGTTATGTAGATATATATTATTTTAATCTGCTCTGCCTGCTTGTTCGCTCCGTATGAGATTAAACCAGGCCCTTAAAGGCTAAAACCTCGGAATTCCCAGAGAAGGTCAAGGTCAAAGAAGGTTAAGGAACTATAATTTCAGCTCTAAAAGGTTGGTACCAGGAAAGACGAAAAAGTATCAGACCTATATGCTTTTAAGCCCGCAAACCAGGAAAGAGAAAGATGAAACAGACACCGAACTAGTTTGTGGAACAAGTCAATTTTCTTAGTCCAAGCTCCAGAAAAACCAAAGAGCAAGAAATATTAGACATTTTAATCGGGGTTATGGGAGGAGTAAGACCATCCGAACTAGTTCAAGCAAAATCAAGAAGGCCATAGAAATCTCCCACTTGTCCTTTCATATTGAACATTCACGACAACACCCATTATCAATATCCAGAGAGGAAGAAAAGGACAAAGGCAAATGAAAAACACATCAAAACCATAAAATTGAAGGAAGAAAACAACTTGAGTAGGAAAGGCGTCAGACCTCTGTAGCTGCATTTCCTGAGAAGCGCAGTGATAATCTGGCGGGTGGAATCATCAGCTTCAACCAAGAGAACCCTCAATACCATCTTGGGCAAGAATTTCTCCCACCTCATCAGACCATTCAATTCACCCTCTTTACTCTCTGTTCCACTTTCCTCCTCGTCCTCTGTTTTCTCCTTCTCCTTCTCCTTCTCACTCTCCTTCGCTTCCAGTACTTTCAAATCACCCATTTCTCCCCACCACCCACTTTCAGGCTTTCACTTTCACCCTCTCTCTATAGAATTGGAATCAAATGCGGGAGCAGAGCCTTAGGCGGATTCCCAGGAGTATCAGACAAAAACGAAAACGCGAGGGTAAAAAGAAATCCTCGTAAGCGAGACGAAAGTTATTAAAAGAGAAAATCCGATGGCGTCGAATGAGGATTCCACGGGGAACCGCCTCAAATCCAACGGCTTGGAAAATATCTTCCACAACAAAATATCTGTTCCCTGACGGTAATGGCCCGCACGATCCACGTCAGCAGGCAGATCGATCTTTTGGCTGAAGATCAAAATGAAAATAGCCATTGGGTTCCTCACGCTTCCTGTTTGGTGGTGGATATTTGAGTTTGAGGTTCTTCCTTCGAAAAAGAAAATGATAAAAAAGTTGGAGGCTTGAAGGGTCAACAACATCCCCATCATCGGCTACCCTTCTCCTTTTCGGCTTTGATATTTCGCTGTGGGAGAGACAAGTGGCCCTTTGTGGGTCCCGCCGCACCAAAGATATTAGTGAGATTTTAAAAATCTCTCCTCCCAAGATATTTTTCGAGCGTTCGAAGTCTGCCAATCAATCTTATGGATTAGTTTTCGACACGTGGCGTTGTTCTTTTAGGATCTCCCGTTTGTGGTATTGAGCGCTGTCAAAAGCTATCTTCCAAAATGTGTTCGAGCGCCCCGTTGTCACTCGCCTCCAACAGGACTCCTGCTCTACTCGCTCAAGCATTGGGCAGGGCGGCAAAACTGGGGCCACTGCCCGCAGTTCGAAATGACGATGATGTTCCTAACACGAGTGCGTGGTCAGGAATGAGCGTGACGAATATAATACTCCTCCGGTCTTTATTATAAGATCCAATTTGACTTTTTATTTGGTCCTAATTATAAGACCCAATCCATTTTGTCTCTTATATTTATGTATTTTTTTCCAAGATAATCCTTCTAATAATGATAGTTTTAGCTAATATACTTAATTAGCAAGGATATTTTAGGAATGACAACACTTATTTATTATAAATAACCAACTTAACTTACTTCCTTAATCTCCTCAAATAAGTCAATTGGGTCTTATAATTAGGACCGGAGGAGTATATATATAGAGTTTTTATTTTAATATAAAACCTTATTTAACTTTTATTTTGACCATAAATATAAAGTTTCAATTCACTTTATTTTTTATATTTATTTATTTTTTTTAAAGTAGTTTTTCTAATAATAGTAATTCTAGCCAATATCTTAATTAACAAGGATATTATAGAAAGTACAATATCTATTTATTATAAATAACTAATTTAATTTTTTTTAATTAATTAATTAATTTTTATATTTAACATAAGAGATACAATGACACCTCTCGTTATTCCATTTGTCCCCGCCATGGGTGGGGGGATGTTATGATGCTGTGATCATGTTATTTTATTCCTAAATCCAAATCAATCAAAATGATAGCATTGACGAGGATCCTAACCTCGGGTTAAATCTACAGTTAATTGTCCTTCCTGCCTTCGCCTTCACGCCAGCTAGCCCATTAATTTAAAAATCAATGCTGCAATTTCAAATGGCTTTATCACCTTTTTTTTTTCCCCCAATTACAGCACAAGTTTGTCTAGAAAACCGCGTGATTGAATTGCTACTATTCGTATCATCTGTCCGTACTGTGTGTGGCTTCACTCTATCGTGTCTCCTCCGCCCAAAGCACAACAGGGACTGCACCGAAAAATATTGACACCGAGCGGAGTTGTAATTTTCAAGGGAAGAGCCGTCGAAATAAGGAACGTAGCTAAGATTATTTCCATGCAATAAATATATCACAAACATAAATTCTTTTTGTTTTTAAAGACTCTTATTTTTCGCCAACTTTAACAGACTTTTATTTATTGAGTTAATTAGCGGCTTTTACTTCATCATGATATCTCTCTCGTGTTAAAGAGCGATGAAAAAAGAAAAATTTTAACCAATAATACTTTAGACAAAAGCTTATAGTCTCTTAGAATAAAGATGCGACCAACATAATTCTACTAAAATCTGCGCATGCGGAGGCATTGGATGAGAATGGGCCTTGTATTCCCTCATTCTGCGCATCTGGTTCAGTTTAACACTCAATCATAATATATGGGCAGTTACCCACAACAGCTAGTTTACTTATTAAAGAGTCAGCTCATAAATCATAATATCGTAAGTTTGAATTCTACTGCTGATGTGAGGACTTTATTAATAAGCTATTCGTAAGTATCTCTGTAAGAATTTTTTGAGCCTAAAAGCATGCCTTGATTTTGGTAAGTACCCAGGACCCAACTCATGTAAGTTTTTCTTTTACCAAAAAAAATAAATAATACTCCTCCGGTCCTAATTATAAGACCCAATTGACTTATTTGAGGAGATTAAGGAAGTAAATTAAGTTGGTTATTTATAATAAATAAGTGTTGTTATTCCTAAAATATCCTTGCTAATTAAGTATATTGGCTAAAACTATCATTATTAGAAGGATTATCTTGGAAAAAAATGCATAAATATAAGAGAGAAAATGGATTGAGTCTTATAATTAGGACCAAATAAAAAGTCAAATTGGGTCTTATAATAAGGACCAGAGGAGTATATGAGCAGTTGAGTTGACCCCCTCCTTCATTGATTCATTCGTATGGGTCAATGAATCCCCATTCGGGTGGGGGTGCTGCAACACTTTCAATAGCTCAGCTCTCCCTCTCCCTTCAGCCCCAGTAGCATGTGGAGGCAATTGTGACTGTCGCATGTTTGGAAGGGTCCCGTCATAGCCAGAATCCCACGTCTGTGATTCATTATAATTTATAGCTTAGCATCATCAGGTAATTAAACGAATTAGACTCCTCATCAAAAGCCACGTGCATGTGCATGGGAGCCGCATTTTATCTTGTTCACGTCCGATTTCTTTATTCATTTATTTGTTTTTGCTTGCTTGGTAACACGGTCACATACCGTACGAGTGGGAATTAAAACACATCTAAAACGGGAACGGAGGCATTAACTAGGATCTTCTTCCCCTGCTCCACACATAAATATATAACTTGCTGGTGGTATGAATCTACTACTCTTATTCCCCCCTCCATCCTTAAAACTGGCTAGTGTTTTCGTGTGGGAGTGCGTGGGTGCGCGTTTTCAGCAAAAATATCTACACTGATATATTAAAGATGAAATCTTTTTACTTTTTTGATGAAATATAATTAATGTGACGACGAACTACTGGGCGGAGGCATGCAGGAGAGGGTGATGCAGTGTTTGACATCTGCCATTAGATATTATGAAATATCTTAGACAATATCCATCCATGGAGGCATCAATTAAGGACCTCAAAAAAGTTCATAAAAGAAGCAGAGTGAAAATGTGAAATAAGGACCACACGACTTTTTGAGTTTTTGGGTAAAATCTGAGGCACCTTGGCCACGTCACTGGGACTGATCCATCACTCTTCGCCTCTGTCGTTGTCCCCCCTTCTATCTTTCCTTATCCCCTCCCTCGCTGCTCTCTCTTCTTTCGGACAAGCTCACCTTCACGTCTGACTCAATGGCGACTCCGCTCTCTTCCGCCTTTCACGCCTCTTATCTCCCGCCACCCTCACCATCCTCTTCTCCTGCTTCTTCCTCCGCTCTCTGTCTGCCCACTTCATCTCCTCACTTTCTGAGGCAAGCCACAAAGTCCATTGCCTTCTTTAGCCCATCTGAAATACTCAGATGCGTTGCTATTTCACCCAGAACCAGAAGGAAACGTGCAGGTTCACTCCTTGTTCGTGTGTCCTGGGACGGACCCCTCGCTTCGGTCAAACTGATCACACAGGCCAAAAATGTTGAGGTTTGCCCTCTTCCCTTCCCGACCCCGGTTCTTCAATTTCCCTCCGAGATGTTTATGCTCGAATTATTTTTCAGATTATTGGGTCCTTAAAGCATCGCACTGAATGTTTGGACATTTGAGAACAAATAGATTTGTTGTTGTTCTGGGTGGAGGAATTTAAAGTGAGAAAATAACGCGGAATTGTGTACAGTTGACGGATACGGTAAAGCAGCATGTGGAGGAGAAGGTGGGGAAGGCAGTTCAGAACCATAGTCACCTGGTTAGGGAGGTGGATGTGAGGCTATCCGTCCGAGGAGGAGGAGAATTCGGGAAAGGACCCCTCACCAAAAGATGTGAGGTACCACTTTCTTCTGGCATTACATTTATTTGGGATATTAAAAGATTTTAGTTTGCCATTTACCAACTGTGAGGGGGATAAGATTCTAAGAACTAGGCAATTGGCAAATGCAATCTTGTTGATTCGAAATTGTTACCGAATATATAATTCAATTTTAGGGCTTGATGTGGGCTCTACTGTACTTGGTTAGGTAACTTTGTTCACGAAGAGGCATGGAGTGGTGAGGGCCGAGGAAGAAGCAGAGACTCTGTATGGGAGTATAGATTTGGTATCCTCGATCATTCAGAGAAAGCTGAGGAAGATAAAGGAAAAGGAATCAGATCGTGGTCGCCACATGAAGGGCTTCAACAGGTTGAAAGTCAGAGAGCCTGTAACTCCTTTGCCCATCGATGACACGGAGCCAGAGGCAGAGACAGACACGCCTCCCCAGCAGGATGAACAGTTCATTGATGAGGTTGGTTCTCGGCTGTCATGGGTTCTAGCTGGGGCCTGGGACTACTTCCATGCTTCAGGGTGGAAAATTTTACATTGTCATGAACAGTTCCTCTTTTCTCTTCTCTTCTTTTTTGTTTTGTTTGTTGGTAGATAAGTTACAATGTTTTTCGTGGAGGGGTTTTGCAGATTGTCCGCACAAAATACTTTGAGATGCCGCCGTTGACTGTAAGCGAAGCTATTGAGCAGCTGGAAAATGTTGATCATGACTTCTATGGTTTTCGAAATGAAGACACTGGTGAGCAATTATAATGCAGCTTATTTTCGTTTCCGTCCCCATTACGTGCCTTTCTATGTATCAGTGATCTCTAAATTGATAGTCTAACTGCTTCAGGGGAGATAAATATAGTGTACAGAAGGAAAGAAGGAGGTTATGGACTCATAATACCTAAAGGAGACGGCAAGGCGGAGAAATTGGAGCCTGTGGTGGTTGAAGCAGCAAGAGAACCCTCCCGCTCAGAATGATTTGCGCTTGGGAAAACTTTTTGAAAGAACGGTAGAGCTTGTATATGATTTGCGGATACCAAATGGTTATATCTCTGATCTGAGCAAAGGCAACTGCTACTTAAGTTTCGGTTCTGTCGAGTGTGAACCGAGTTTTCAAATATGGTGTGATCTTCGATCGCTTGATATTACAAAATGAGAGGGGCGCCATTTTGTGGTCATCCCATGATGTTGATAATTGAACTTCACGTCACTGCTGCAAGTATTCTGCAGAATGTTGGATCCATTTCCCCTTCGTTAGAAATTAGGGAGTTCAAACGGTAACACGGTGAATTTGTGTATGAAGTGCGTAATAAAATTTAATGAGTTAGCCGGCTATTGATTCGTAATTTGGTCTGCTTATGGGTCAAGTCAAGTCAAATTTATAAACATAATTAATAAATAACACGGGATGGAAAGAGAGTGCGACAGCATAATTAAAGGGGCATATTTATTGAAGGAAAGAATGATGTGTGTGACGAGATTAAAGGTTTGAGACTACGGTGAGCGATTGGAGAACCCCATATCACTTCAGCCGAGTTCTTGGTTTAATTTCAGCCAATCAAGAATTGCGAAGTGAAAGGTCTATCACGGTTACTGAAAATTTTCTTCTTGCTCCTTAGCTCTTTTTATGTAGGAATGCCTTTTAATCAGAATGAACATTGAGTTTTCTTCAGTTGATTTTTGGGGGGTTCCTGTAAACAGAAGACATGTAAGGTATCGTTTCCCAGTCTGTATGCAAAGATAAAAAAAGGTTTGAGCAAATGCGTTATCAAAGTAAAAGAAAAGGATCATATACAATACTAGCATCTTGCCAGTGCACTTGCCTCGGATCATCTTGTGTCTTCGCCGACTTTTCCCCTCGTGCTGAGCATCCTGTTCCCCCATATGAAAGCAGAAGAAAAACGAACATCCTTAGGCCTGATAAAGCAAAATACCAATATAAATCGAAGCCCACTCTAGTGACTCATAAAAAGCACAGGGATTCACATTGTCCATAAACCATAAACAGCAGCATTTATCTTAAACTCTATGCAAATACATGAAACCCACTCTAGTGACTCAAAAAAAAAAAAAAAATAGCAGGTACTAATAACGACCACGTATATACACACAATGCAAGCGTGCAAACAAAGAACAATGTGACTGCATCAGGCAACATAAAGACGTCTGTGAAAAACTCAAATTGAAAGAACTAAAACAGACTCTACGGCAAAATGATTAATTTCTTTGCCTCTTTTAGATTAAATAACCTCAGCAAGGGCAACCAAGCATAAACCGTATTGAGAAAAGTTATCAGTGCCAGCATCAATAACATAAAATTAACTATGAACAGCTAGAAACTAAAAGGAAAGGAAGCTTCGACAAGTTCACCTCCGAACCACAGAAAGTATGAGAGGCCTGAATATTACAGAGCCCCCTAACAGGGAAACTAACAAACATAATCAGCCCAGATTTCTTCTCCTTTTTTACTCTTTTACTTCTGACCATGAAATTTTGTTAATAATATACAACAATTTGACCAGGCAAAAAATTATATACACCATCACAAATACATCTTCTAGAGATAAAGGCATTAGTTCTTGTTATCAGAACTTCAAGCCCATCTCAAATTTTTTTTAATAAAGAACCTCACAAACCTTATTCTATATCCCATGATTCAAGTTGTAGAAATTGCTCTTAAAATTGTACCTATAAGCTTGATGTGGCCATTAACCGTAAAAGCGTTTTTACCAAAGTATTTTAATGGGTAAAATTGAACCAACATTTCTGTTATTTACAACATCAGTAAAAATAACCAAAATGGTATATCAGAGTTCAACAAAAACACTTGAATTATAATTGAACATGTAAACCTTTCCAGCCATTGTAAATCTGGAGAAGGCCAGAGGAATAAAAGTAGTCAATGGAAGAATGTAAAACATACATAGCATTATCACGGTAATGTTTAGAGCGTGGTGTTTGATCCATGAACACGGCACCACGTATGGATTGTCATTCTTGCTGTTACATATAGCAGCACTATTTCTATCACACAAACTCTAGCATTGACTTATTTAAGGGCTTAAAGTGACAACCAGACTTGTCAAGCCTAAAATGATAGTTCAGAACATGAAAAGCGGGGGCATGTGAAAAAAGCCCAAGGAAAACATGAGACCTAAGCCCCCATTTGAGAAGTACTTCACATTTCATGCGATTGCCCCAACAACCAAGGAAAGCTTCTTCCGTATTGGCGTATTGCCACAAGGCATTGGTCACTTACACTTGCCCGCTATCTCACCCTAATCAATTCCAGCATTTCCTCAGATCCTGAAGTCACCAAACACACACCGAAGTGTCTATCTAAGCTCACTGACAGAACCCCAGAATGACAAAGCGACCAAACTGCTGAAAGTAACATAAAATATTAAGGCGGCTTCATTTTCGAAGCATGCAATAATGCAAAGCGTCGATAATGCGAAACATCTTACAAGCCACATTAATTATATAGAAACACAGACGAACAGAATGGCAGCGCTCATCAGTTAAACAATTGAAATTACGCATGCATTAGTGCAGGCATATATTATATTGTACAGAGGCTCATAATAGCTGCAAATAACTTTCCGAGTTTAGCACACCAAATCAGCTAGATTAATTGAAGGAAAATATATCGTAAGCTCTTACTTAGGTGGACGGAGTTATAAACTCTCCTCCCTATTCGATCCAAACTGATACTCCATAAACTTGGGTTCCTTCTTCGCACCAGCGCTATCATGATTAACAAACCCAAGAGTCCCTTTGTTCTTCTTCTTGGAAAAAGACTTCGATTTCCCTTTCCTCTCTCTGACTTTCCACACATTACCTTTTCGAAAGACAAACTTCTCAGCCTTCCACCCCGGGCAACTCGTATCGATCATCGTCACCTCAGATTTGGAAAACCCTCTCAACTCGTTACCATCATTTTCTTTCTCCTCCTCCACATCGCAACAATCCAAACCTTCCTCTTGCCGCTTCGCCGTATCGTTGTTGAATGAATTCGGAGCAGGGACATTGTCGTCTTTTCGCGCACAGTCGACGATACCAGTGTTCCTCAGCGAAGAGGCGAAGAAGAATTTGGGGTTTGTCTGCTTCCTGGGACACTTCTTCCCGGAGCTGAGGCGACCGCCCATGTTGAAGAGCTCAGCAAGTACGCTGCTCAATGGGGGGCGGACATCGGCGGCGGAGATCTCGGAACCCCGAGTCCGATTTTTTGACGAGTGCGTGGGTTCGGAGATGGACTGGAATGAATCGGAGGATGTAGGGTTTGGATGGTTGGCGAGAAAAGAATCGAGGTCGACATCGTCGCCTGTCGGGATGCCCTTGTTATGGCGGAGCCGGTCGAGCCAGTTTAAACCGGACTTTTGTGCCGGAGCGGAGCAGAGCATTATTAGAATCGGAAGAAGAACCTAGAGAAACCCGAGAGTCTGCAAAGGATGAGGAGGAAAAGGGAGGGTGAAAGTGAACGGCGGGGAAGGGAAGGGAAATTCACATTACAGTCCTGGCACAGAGCGAGTGAAGGACAGACGGGTACGCGTGATGCGCGTCGCCAGCGAATGACACGTGGCGTAATGCCGGGTACAGGAGTAGAGGGTGACTGAGCGAGAGAGGGCGAGATAAATGTCCTTCGGATCATTTTTTAACAGTGCAAAAAGCATGAAACATGTGGTTCCAGTCCAATCTCGACTCAAAAATTAAAAAGTACTATTTGATTTTCTGTTCAAATCTCTTCCAACGGTACGACTTTTCATTTTAGGGTTTTCTCTCCGGCCGTTCCTCGCGACCGCGGAAAACATACTTAAAACGATGTGCTTGTGCCGTTTCTTCTCTCCTTTTTCTGAATCTAATGTTCTTTGACGAATTTAATCTGGAAGCACTCTGACTCTGATATTCACGTGATAAGAGCCGTAAAGTTTGAAAATTTAGAACTTTCTCATATGGGGTAATTTTGATTTGCTTGAATCATATCACAGTGACGATGAGGAACAACTTTAACCAGAACTTTCTCATAACGTCATGGATTTTGGAGGGATGACAGAACACGCGCCACGAGAATATACTCTTCTATTTAAGGCTGTTGGCTTTGACAGTATTATTTTAATAACAGGTAATAATTTTGATTGAATAATTTGTTGCCTTGTTCCGGGCCTTTCAATGATTATTTTTTTGATCACCCGTTGTTCCGCGCCTTAAAAAACAGTGAGCAGGCGCCAATAATGAGAGAACAAATATGGGGATATCCCATTCTATAGATCTGTGGTTTCCACGGATATGGTTAGACGATGGTGTGATGTGCAATTAATTTAATTTGGTTCGATGTTTGTTTAGTGATTGTTCGGATGTGAGCATGTGTCTATGTGAGGCTGGATATACGTTGGGCTCAGTTCAAAATTGTTCAAACTTGGGGCGTGATAGCGAAGTTTAGGTGATGGTATTAAATTGTGTTTGAAGTCCGAGCGCGCGCAGTAATAAATTGAATGAGAAACAGCAACGATAATTCCGTCCATTCTTAAACAAATAGAGCATCACATGCACGCCTCCGTGTGCACCTGAAACTCCGTCCTTCCTCTCGTTCACGAGTCAACACTCGTGTGAAATGCTTCCTCTTTATTAAGTGCCGCCTTTGATTCCGTCCATCCTCTCATCAGCTGCACAGTTACATTTATTTCGTAGCATCTATGAATTAAGTTAATATCAGTTTTCTAGTTAGCCGTCAGCCAGCAACTCGCCAAGATCCAATTTCTAGCTATTTCCCACCCAGTCAGCCAGCAACTCGGGTTTTTAGGGATAAAGAGGCTTCAATGAATCATGCTCGGTGACTCACTCGCCGTCGTCATTTGTGCTCATGATTACGTTTCTGATCTGAGTATATGAATAGGCTTTCGCACAAGGATTGTTGAGATAGTGCTAAAATCAATCATAACCATTTTTTTCATTAAAAAAAGGTTATCTAATATATGGACAAAGTATTAACAAGAATTTTAGGCATTTAGAGGAGCAAAAAATAAAACAAGGAGCCATTTCAGAGGAAAAAAAATAATTAATGCCGGAGAGATTTGTCGCAAAGACTGTTCATATAGAGAAGTGATAATAAGGAGGTATAGAGTAAAAGCTGTTTTAACCAGTACGCATCAAAGAGAGAGTATCATTCTTGGTGTTGGCAAGCGAACGAAGTATGTGCCTGAGTATGCCGACCATCCATGCGGAGGGCTTTCAGTCTACCGCCAGGAACATACGGCGGAATTCTGGGTGGGTACTGAAGCTGGTTTTTGTCATTCTCGTCACGTGCGTCACAAAGCTTTTTACTGTTTCTCTGATCTAATCCCACTCTAGTTGTTCCTTGTTTGGGTGAAAGAGGGAGGCGCGGTATAGTATGATATTAATTAATTAATTAAATTAGGAAACCGTGTGTTGAGTTGATGAATATTGAGGGACGACTTTTCTCCCTACTCGGAACTGGGGAGGCTAATCCCCCGTCAAAACTGCGGGGGAGCCACCCAACCCCAAAATATGAACCACTACCCATATGCATCACACCCTTCTCAATTCACACTTAGGCCGTCGCTTTCTTTTCGCCAGCCCCCACCCCGCTCCTTCCACATATCGCGTCACCAAGTCTGTTCTTCTCATCATCATTACGCTTTGGTCAAATAATAATAACAACACAAGTTTTTTTTTTTTGTAAATGTCTCTGGTCCAACCATACATGTTAAATTGAAAGTACCATTAGCTAAATTTACTCCGTGCAAACTAAATGTTTCAGGATTGACTTGCAGTTGTATGTGCCAGAACACAAAGTTATTGTATTCGGTTTTTTTATACAAGAGCTAGTGAAGGAGGACTAAATAAATTAGTTAATTATAATAAATATAAATTTATATTCATAAAATAAGTAAGATATTACATTTAAAGGCAAACACAACTAGTTGATTAATCTTGGAGGGGGAGTGATATTTATAAAAAACCCTGTTCATGTTGTGAGAATTCCAGCAGTCAACTAATGGACCAACAATTAAAAATATGAGCGTAGATTATTCGAGTGCATAAAGAACAAGTCAATTCCAAAGTTGTCGGCCGGTGAACGCCGCGTTGTCAGCTTGTGATACTTGACTTTTACCACTTCCCTCGTTTTTTTGGCTCCCATTTTATTTGGATGATAGCTCACCCTCGCCTTAAAAATAACAAAAAATTAAAAAGTACACTAAGCATTAAATAATTAATCGAAGCCTTTAAAATCCAAAATAACACCGAGCCCAGTCCTTTACAAATGTGAAATTAGAACGGCTCTGGTGAGCAAAAATACATGGCACTGTCTATATATGAGTGATAACTATTTCGAATTTTAACACCGACATTAATACTAATGTTTTCGTTAAAAAAATGAGAGCGAGAGCAATCAGGAAAATTAAGAGTATTTGACAGAAGGTAAAACTTGGAATTAGTAAAAGTGTTATGTACGACTTCTTAATATTGAATTATTGACTTATCTTCGTCAAATACACGCATATCATATTCATTACTCTATGTTGGCAAGCAAACAGAGTATAAATATTTCCCTTCTCATTTAAAACGTTCAAGTTTTCTCATGCACCGACCACGCTCTAGGGCTCAAACTAATATAAATCAATTTTACTCCTTTAAACTACACCGATAATCTCTCGGAGTCTGGTGATTCAGGTAGAGAAGGATCTTCCCCAATTTTCGTCTCGCTGGCGGAGTCGAATACCACTTGACTGTAAAACCCAAGCAAAACTGGTCGGTGGTGCTGCAGGAGCTCAGTCCCTTTGGGTTTGGCGGAGTGCCACAAACAGGTATGGTGGTGATGACGATGGAAACATTATTTTGTGCTTCTGAGAAAGACCACTTAGGTTGCCGTTGCTTGCATGAGGTTTTGTTTCCCACCACAGAAAAAGAAAAAACAAAACAAAAACGAGCCCAGAATATTTAAGGGAACGTGAAAAACAAGGCCTAAGCGAACTACAAAACCTAGGTGCCCTGCCCATTATTCTCACGCTCGGCTCTATTGGCTTCACTGCAAACGATCCAGAACCGTCCATTGACATATGTGGACTTCCACCTTGTCGTCGCTTTCAATCTCCCCCACGCATCTCTAACTTGCTTCTTCGCCCGTCTTTTTATTAGCCTTCTGATTCCTCTTCCCTTTCATTGGCTCATCTTCAGGCCTAAAGAATTAAAGGCAAAAAAAAAAAAATCATTGGTTCCTCGGAATCTTTGCAATTTGCGTTTCTTACCATCCATATTGCTGCAACCACCGCCGTCTGTTGCTTGCTAAGATGCTTCGCCATACCACGGTGTCGTAGTGAGATAATTCCGAAGCCAGCCGGGTTTTATTACCTTTCTCATCCCTTATCTCTATCCCTTGAGTCTTAGTCAATAGCCTTATCCTTTGTCGTCCTCTCCCTCAGAGTTTTCACCAAACTCGTCCTCTTCTTTTCTTCCTCGAAATCTCTAGGGGTTCCTTATCGCAAACCCCTCCAACCCCCCCTCCTCGATTTGTGCTGAAGATATTAAATCACAGGAGTGAATTTTCGTTGAAGGGGCGGGTTTGGTTTCTGGTTTTCTTACCTTTTTTTTTGTTTTTCTTTTCCCCTTCTGTTTCTTTTCGTCTGCTTGATTTTCGATATTCTGTTTTCCTGTTATGTCTTTGGTTCAACATTTTTACGATATCTTGGAAAACCCCACATTATCGGGAATATGTACAGGGATGGTTCTGTTTCTGGGTCCTATCTGGGTCGCATTTTTGGTTGGTGTTTTTGTCGGATGGGTTTGGAAACCGAAATGGGCTAGTCTGGGGAGAGAAGAATTAAGCCATTCTCTGGCCAAATCCTTGGAATGGTGCTCCCTATCCTCGTCGCCTTCCAAGCAAGTATTTTCGTCTCTCAATGGTTCTGAATTGCAGTCGCAAAATCGACAATCTTTGCTCGTGGTGGATAAAGGCTTGAGTAAACTGCCACTCTCTTCGCCGCCTCCAGAATATGATACTTGCAGCAGGTACCGCCTTTTAGGTTCTTATCGATTATTCTTGCATTTTTGTCGTTTTCTGCTGCTTGCTTGTATCTTTAGCCAGGTTGGAATTATGATATTGGAGCCACTTACTAATATAGTAGCTGAAAGCAAACTGTGTTTTTTGTTGAGTCCTTGGTCATACTTGATTAACTCTCAATGTGGTGGTCGCTCTTGTAATTATCTTCCTTGAAAGAAAGATCGAGTAAAAACCAAAAATCCGGATGCATGTCATCTGTTTGAACGTCAATGGTTCAGCTTTTGGCATGAACTGAATGGTTGTTTTGCACAATGTCACGACTACTTCCTTTAAGATTTACTGTCATGTTTGCCATAAATATGCTACCCTGCATATAGTCAGTGCGAGTTGTCACCCCTGATGCCTTTTTGTGCTTTACTGTCATGTTTCCAAATGACTTCATGAAGGGTAAATAGCTGACTTTGTTGTACTGTGCAGTGGGTCCACCATCAATGAAGACGCATCTAATACTATTATATTGGAGGATTTACAGCATCTTTGGCAGCTCGTAGAGGTAAAAGATGGAGGTCCTCCTTGGATACAGATGATGGATCGTTCCACCCCTAACATGAGTTACCAAGCCTGG